TCCAGCGTTCAGCTGTAGGTGTCTGCTGAGATGTGCAGCTTGTGCAAACATTTACTAAAGTTGGTATCAAGAATCCATGAATATGTGACTTTCACATATCACAAGTATCCAAGTTAGACTACACTCTGTGTGTGTGTGTGTGTGTGTGTGTGTGTGTGTGTGTGTGTGTGTGTGTGTGTGTGTGTGTGTGTGTGTGTGTGTGTGTGTGTGTGTGTGTGTGTGTGTGTGTGTGTGTGTGTGCGTGTGTGTGTGTGTGTGTGTGTTTTCTCCATACATTTATGCATAAACTCTGATCTGCCCAATTTAATATTTTACCCTAAGAGGTGAAAATCCTGCAGGAAGAAGACGTTCATGTCTGTCACCTGAACAACACTGGTACCGCAATCAGAGTAGCACTTTTATCTCCTCGATTTAAAGCTTCGGTGGAACGAATGATGCAAATAGTGATAATGCGACACCACTTCCATATATCCTAACAACCATGAGGAAACACCAAAAGTGTGTTGGAAAAGGTGAAACCCCCTAGAGGAAAAAGGAGGAATCACAGGGAGAACACGAACATTATATATATATATGTATATATATATATATATATATATATATATATATATATATATATATATATATATATTCTACACTAATATTATATGTATTTTTAGGAACCTGATATCTGTTTTCATTGCATTTGATGACTCTATATACACACACACATACACACACAGAGACATCATTTCCAATGCTGGTGGATACAGGAGTGTTTCACTACACATTTTCACTGGTGAGTTTCTAAAAACAGTTTCAAAAGACAACTGTGTGTGTGTGTGCGTACGTGATTGCTTGCATGCATGTGTGTATGTGACATACACAGCTTACAGTGTCATGTACCAATAGTGTGAACGGTGTGCAAACCTATTTTGAGCTAGGAGGATTCAGATGTCGTCTGCAGCTTTGTCTACCTCCAAACTTCTGTGGGATGACCGGAGATTAATCGTTCGAGAAGGAAATGAGCCAGATGTGACATGTTGTTTCTCATTAGTGGCATGCAGCTCACTTTTTTTTCCCACATCTTAAAACAAATATCCAACTTCGAATGTGTGCGTGACAGCTGGAGATGAGTGCTCAGCTAAGTGGAGGAAAATAAATCAAAGCACTTGCCATCTTTTTGTGATGATTTGTCTAATTCTTGTCTGCCGTGTCCGTAGAGGGAGGGGAAGGAGGAGAGATGTAGCAGAGAGATGAGGGTGAGGTGGTGTGTGTGTGAGTGGATAGAGAGATGGGAACAGAACTAGTCAGAGAGACAGAGGGAAAAGTGTCTTTAGACCAGCTGCACAGCAAATCTGTTTATTCTGCACAATTTGGCATCAAACACAACAGACTGCTGAGTGCTTGCTTCTGCTTGTGGTGCCCCATTAAAATGGAATTTATTGGTGCCTTAAGAGTAAGTCCAAATTACACATTTTCCCCTCCTCTCTGCTCCCTCACCCCCTCCTCGTTTGCACTTTTCTCTCTCTCTTTTTTTTCTTCTTCTGTGGTGATGTCAGTGTGGTTTTCCCCTCCGTGGTTCTTGCAGCAGCTGTCAGATAAATTGTCAGAGCTGCTCATTACAGACCAGTACAGGCAGGCTTGCTAGGCATGCCCACCTACAAGTCACCCATCAGTGCCATCTCCTCTGTCGTCTGAGTGAGTGCTGCTCACACTCGTGCATCAGTTTTAAAAAGAGCCTGTGCTGGCTTCTTGTGCATCTGTCAGGAGTATTCTTCTTTCGCTCATTTCATTTGCTGCTAAAATAATTAAACAACCTGTTACTTGTTTACTTCACAGCATGCAGACCGAACTTTTTAGCTGTTAAAGACAGCGTGAACTCTAGGCCCCATCTCGCTCCATAAATCTCCTCAGCCAATGATAAATTCATATTTAATGACCGCAGCCGTCGTCTGGGAAGGAGGAGCATTCTTTCGTTATTGCCTCTTTCCCCCTGCTGCTCGGTCGAGATAATTGATTTCTCTGTGGTAACAAGGTATCGACCATGCACTGTAGCCAGCTAAGACGGCAGTTCGATTCAAAGGAGGGGTGGAGAAGAAGAAGGGGTGAGAAAAAAAGGGAGAAAAGAGATGAAGCTGAGGGAAGAAGAGCACTGAAAGCTAACAAGCTGCACAATTATCTGCAGTTAGGAAAACTTGCAGGTTTTAGGTGACTATAGATCAGATAGTGACTGTTTTTTTTTCAAGATTTTAGAGATGGAGAATATTTAATCTGTAGTTTGTTTAACATCATAGTTGGATTTGATTTTTAACCCTTTCCTGCAGATTCAAGCGATGCCTTGTGTGGGTGTTAATGTTATTACACCAAGTGTACTCTAGTGTAAATGGAGTGACTGTACTGCAACAACCTTGTCATACAATCCTTGATTTATTTGCCCACTTCATATTTTAGAGTTAACTGTGTGTTGGTGAAAGTGGTGAAAAGGCATTGGGAGAATAACAGTTTTAATGCTGACGGAGGAATCACCGTTTATGCATGGAAGGGTTCAATTGTAGCCAGAAGGAAAGTTAGAGAACAATTGAAGAACATTTTAAAGGCCAAAATACAACAAATATATTAAAAATGTACACTTGGATTAAACCTGTTTAAATCTTCTTGCTGGTTTTGAATATTTTAGCTTTAGTACCAGCTTAACTGAAACCTACAGTGGGACAAGAGATTTCTTGCTTTTTTTTACAGTATATTGCTCTTGGATGAAAATGCTTGATAAAAACTAAATGAGTCAGATAATCTCAGCAAAGGTCAGCCCTGTTTTATATCATTTTAAAGCCATACTACGTAAAACTCTCATGTTTTTAAATATTTTTCTTGAGCCAGCATGAGCTAAAATGACCTTTTACAGGGTTGATGAAAAGTCACTCAGACCCCACCGACCCCTGTGGCCAGAATACCGCACTTGCAACTTCAGAATTGGCAGGTCACCACCTGTTAAGTCCATCTTTAGTCTTAGCAATGTGGAACTGACATGCCAGTGCTGGCGTCTGCTTCCAGCACGTTTCCTGCACGCTTTAGACCATGAACACAGCTGATTTGTATGATTTAGTGATGAACCACTGTAAACACTGATGAAGGTCGTGAAGACGTTTCAGGAGTTAAAAAGACGAACGCACAGCGAGGAGATAAATTTTGCTTTGGCTTTACTTAACGGACACTAGGTGGTGCTAAAAACAAGTCAAAACTGTCAAGTGTGCCTTTAATTGAAAAACTAAGAAAATGTGATGTTATTATTCTTTTGTCTTCTCTCTCTATCTAAGGTTGGGTCATGTAGCTGACAGGTACAGGACATCCGTGTCTCCCTGCAGCAGTTTGGGGTCTCCTCCAAATGGACCAGAAAACCTTCGAAGGAAAGAAACCAGGAGGCATCATAGTTAGATACCCGAACCTCAGTCGATTCCTTCCGGTGAGGAGATGTGGCTTTTTTTCTAAGGATGATGGAGCTCCTCAGCTCAGCTCTGAAGCAGAGCCTCGTCTCCCTACAGAGGAAGCTCAATCAGCTGCTTGCATTATGGGTCTTCTAGATGGACCTGCATGATCAGAGCAGCACCCTGAGTGCTGCAGACTCTTCTTGCTTTGGTAAATTACGCCTTTAGGATCTGTTAACAAGGATCATTTTTATCATTTCTGCTCCCTAATAGCTGCTGTTCCAAAAGCAAATGATGTCACGAGTCAGTAAATCTTTTCTAGTGAGGTGGTTTTTAAGCAACAAAGCAACTTGTGTAATCATTCTTCACTAAAGTCTTTCTGTGTGCTGTTGACATGGATTATTCTCATAATTAGATGTACGACTTGACTTGCAGCTATTGAGCTGACATCTCTGAGGTGTTCGCCTTGACCTGGAGGAGGCATTCCTGCAGACACCTACATCAACAGCTCCACATATGGAGTGCAGCTTCAATCAGTCAATAACCGCAACAGCCCAACTTTATGACTGGAGTAATCATTGATCTCATTCGGCATCCAGAAAACTTCCCTTTGGCTTCACTGCCTGCAGTTTGTGTATAAATAGAGGAATTAAGCAGTGCTGCTGTTGTTACACGTTCACCAGCTTACATTGTAATTTATTTAAGAGCTCTTAATTGGACTAGTTACTCATTTGGCCCCTCGCCGGTCCCACGGCAGAGTGGAGCACCATCACTGCACGCGGGGGCATGCTGGAATATGGAGCTACAGAGACACACTGTACACAGCCAGCTGTTTGATGTCTGCAGCATGCAAGCGTACGCTGCTTCATGCAGCATAAATAAACACAATCCCCTGGTGAGAGGACAGATCGACACACAGGAGACCTTATTTCAGGCTAATGAACTATTAATGCTGATCTAAAATTCACTTTTTTTGCAGGCTCTTCTCTGCAGTTATTCCTGGCTGGGCGTGTTTGAGGCAGGAGTAAAAGCTAAAGCAAACTAATTTGGAAGAAACTGCACAACCCTCTCTGCACGCACACACACACTTCCCCCAAACAGCTGGACTTGGCTCTCAGAAGACCAAATGTGTTGCTAAAGCTCCGTGTTAAATGAAGTCATATAAAATGTATGTCAGTGAGTTTAGCTGGGCTCAGCTCGCACTACAATAAGTGCTAATGGAATAACTGTAAGTTGTATAAATGATCCTTGCTTTAATTCATAATAATGTTGGGCCCCATCGCCAGTCTATTCAGCCCAAGACATTATAGAAATGTCTGTGAGGACTGTTGGAACAATGAGCCGAATTAAATGATCATTTTAAGGCCATGTGAGCTATGGAAGAAGCAACATAATTTTTTCTTTGTTTCTTACAAAGAAAATCAGAAATACTAATGACCTGCTTTTAATTAAAACCAGCAGGAATGAAGAATTAAACCTATAGTGCATAGAACAGAACTAATAGTGTAAAACATCCATGTCAGAGGCTTTCAGTAAAAACAAAACTACATTTATGTGCACATCTCACACACACATCATCAAATGAAAAGACAAAGCCCATATTTAAATGTTTATTCAGCTCACCAGGAATTTTTTTAATGTCATTTAAACAAAGTCGAACATATCAGCCTCAAGGTTTTCTGTGAAAGTATAGAAGGTTGAGTTAATCACAATAGTGGTATAAAAAAAGCATAAGATCTTTAGAAAACAATGCCACAACAGAAAGGTTAGTTCTAACACTGCTGTCAGTAGTGTATTACCTGTTAGAAACACATTCAAATATTCAAAATTAGTATAAAATGCCCTAGATATGCTAAATGAGATGAGATCAGAACTGATTTTCCCTGCAGATTAATGTTTTGGCTCTTTTATTAGTATTACATAAATAGACTTTTCTTCAGTATTCACGTTAAATGGAAGCAGATCCAGGTTTTCGTTGAGCTCAAACAATAAAGAGTCCCATCAGATCTCTAACAGTCTGGTTAGAAGAGCCGTTTGTGTTAAAGAGCAAGTCAACCCCTACCAGATTCTAACTCCACTCCCACTTCATTTTGAAAAATGCAACAAATGCTGTTGCCTGGCAGACCGAGAAGGCGGAGCTGCTAACAAATACACACACACACACAGGCTCACGACAGCATTGTGACATCATAATGTACCAGATGACATCATAGCATACCTCTTAGCCAATAGCGGTGGCAGATTTAAGTTAGAATACGGTGCAGAGTTTTTACCTGACAACGGCACAACACTGCCAGTTTTAGGCAGAATATTTAAATTTTAACTAAGATGCACTGAAGTGCCAAATTATTGACGACACGTGTCTGCAGCACGATTAGACACTCGTATATTTAGTTTATCAGCAAAAAAAAGTTGATTTGGGGGTGACTTGCTCTTTAAAGTCAGGAACTTGGAAGGCTCGGGTTGCACGTCAAATCTGGTACAACATCACCCTCTAGTGGTGCACGTGATGATTACATTATTGAAGGAGTGCAAAATGCAGCATTTTCCCAAATCATTCTCATGGGATCAGAACATGATGACAGGATAAAGGTTGTTGTGACATCAGAGCATGTCAATATTAAAAATATAGTAAAGATGTTATAAAATTATAAAGCAACCAAAGACTGGCCAATAATAAATACATTTTAATGTTTTAAAGTTCTTTGAGCGAGGTGGAGTTGTAACTCGTAAAAGATCACATTCAGTAAATCCAGTAAATTGACATTTTCAGAGACGTTGATATTCTCGGTTTGTTTTTCATGGTTGCGTTGTTATTAAAAGCTTTACGTCTTTTGTAATACACAGTAGTAACAGAGGTGGTCAGTAATAAAGTGGTGATCAAACAAGAAAAAACTTCTAGTATTTGTGAGTGAAAAAAATTAAACACAAAGGAAACATTTAAATGAAAGATTATATGAAAATGTTTCCATTTTATAATTGCACATTACTTTTCCCACATGGTTATAGAAAGATATATTTGGTTATGGCTGTAACATCCAGGAGAATCTTTCTGCCTTTACTTCAGCTGTGGAGAAGGAGAGAAGCTTCCCTGCTGATAAGAGGCAGATGTTGCTTTGCTCTTGCTTCCAAATCTAAGGGTGAGAAAGTCGAAGGTTGGAGAAAGAAAACAAAAACTCAGGATTAAGGATTCAACCAGGAAGCAACAATTTCAATCATCCTTTCTGTAACAAATCTCAATTATGAGTACATTTGATTAGAAATCTAAACGGTGTTACTAATAATGATTAATAAACCCAAGATGAAGCCTTTAAATAAAAAAAGGATAAATTTATATATTTAGGGTCCTACATGGTGGTGCTGGACAGAGTCTGCTTCACCCGCTGAGACAAAGAGCTGGAGGAAGGTGTTTTGGACATCATCTGTTGCTCTGGAGTTGTCACTGGTCCCAGTAAGCTCCCTACAGAATGAACACCAGCAAAGAAGAATGTGCTAAGTGGAAAAAAAATGTGCGTGATCAATTAAACACACAACTTCTCTTGGTCTAAAACGGTGTTACTGCCTGCGTAGTGATGCTGTAGGTGTGAATGTGTGGCATGTTTAGCATTCTAACACGAAGATGTTCAACATGTAAACAATTACATTTGGTTTAAATGTAACCTTTGCACATTTTTGAAAATTAAAGATGTTCAAGTAAACCACAGAACATCTAATGGCCAAATCGTCCAAGATGAGGGCCAAAATCTTCAAGTTCAGTCACAAAAATGTCATTTATTTCTATTAAGAAAGTGAAAAAACTACAAAAAGGCAACTCAGCTGAGTGATTCGGGAGTAACTAAAGTCTAGAGTCTAATAAAACTTTCAGATCTCATGTTACTTAGGTTTACAGTGAGTTACCTTTGTTGTCTGGAGAGTGAAAATCTGCTTCCATCTTGATGTTGTCTGGATGAGCAAACCGGCTCCAGTAGCTCTGTGGAATACTGAGCAAGAGCTCCACCACCTATGAAAGCAGGTTAGCATTCAAAAACAAACAAAGCCAACACACCTAAGACTGTCATCAAACGTGCATGAAGTAAGAACGACATCTAGTGGTCAAATGTAGGTACTGCAGTCCATGTGTCAAAAAACACAAGAGTGTATTCTGTTCTCAGTCGGTGTTGAAATACGAATACCAGTGCAGCTTTGCCAACCTTGTGGGCTCAAATATGATTGGCTCTGGAGCCAGGACGTATGGAGGTGGGATAGACTAAAAACTAAGACACCATCCCTCTTTGGCCTTTTTAAAAGGAGAAAAACTGTCAACCCCCCAATCAGCTGAGAAGGAAATCTGTTTCACTGTAACCTTCCCGCCAACATGACTGAGACATGAGACTGTTCTGAAATTATTTTGCTGTAAAATTCTTACATGTTACACCTCTAAGGGTTGTAAGGTAGGCAATTAGGTTCAGTAACTGTTGCTCATTTTCATTCCCGTTACCCTTGGTTGCCTGCTGGTGTCATTCAGTATCGTCATGGGGTCTGGATCGGGGACAGCATGGCCCACCAGGGTGGGGCCAAACACCCTGGCCAGATTCTTTATGTCCATCTTGGTATGCACACTCTGAGACACCCTGAGAAAAGAAATGAAAAGCACTGAAAACTTCTAGTGCTGTTAATTCTGACTGACTCAAAATCCTCAAACATCTGAACCTGTTCCCGTTCACAAAGTCAAACTTCTTACTTTTGCAGGTGGATCATCAGGCAGGCCAGAGTGTCTCTGTTGGGCTGAGGCAGCTCGCTGACGACATGATACAACATGGCAAGACAGTTGCCATCATCCTGGATCTCTACACAGACAAACATAAATTCAAAAGCTGTTCACCTTAGATGTAATTCTGTCATGTGAGCATGAGACCAGACCACAAAAAGACAAAAATTCCCACAAAAATCTCACCCACTGCCTCCATGAAGGCTTTGTTGAGCTGGAATGTGAGCAGCGGCTCTGGCAGATTTCTGAGGAAGTCCTTGAGGACGCCTGCGATGACATTAATGTCCTCCACTTTGTTAAGTGAAGGCAGAGTCTTTCCTCGAATGAGCTTCTCCTTCAGCTCTTTAACCACGCGCTCATGACCGGAGACTCTGTACAGGCCAACCTGCAGCAGGGTAAAGGTCGAAAATCAAGCAGCTGTCACACCTTCAATCATATGATACTCCAAGATTGGTGTTAGCATCTTTAAATCCTGTCTCACCTCATGAAGACCTCTTTGTTCGATCTCTTTGATGCAGTAGATGACCAAAGCTGGGATCATTGGAGGCGTAACTGGAGCAAAATCAGCCAGGGTGGCCTAGACAAGTCAAATCTTTTAGCACATCTTATGGTTTGCTGAAAATAAATAACGACTGGACAGATGTACCTCTGTGCTCCTGTTGGGAGTACTGAGAGCTGTGGGATTACAGGGCAGGGGACAGTTCTCACGACACTCTGGGTGAGACACGATCCTGCAGTCCTGGCAGCGAAGATAAACTTTTCCAAACTTTGTTCTTTTTCCACACGGCCCACAGAACTCAGACCTGATCACCTTAGTGATGCAGAGATAGAGTTAAGCAAAGTTAAAAAGATGGTTGTGCTTCATAAATAAGAAATATGGTTTCAGGTGTGCATTTGAAACATTTTTGATCTAAAGGAACTTTTTTTTTTTTTTTTTTTTTACAGTTTTGGGGGCGAAGTGGTGCTTCTTTCCTCCTTTTGTCCTTAGAGTTTGGAGTTTGGTCGGAACGTCTGAGACTTGTGTGCCGGGAGCCTCACTAACACTTTCTGACTGATCAGTAGTGGTTGTGTCTCCCATCACTGGAGATACAAACAGTTCATGGTTAAAATACGAAAGAAAAATCTAGTTATCCCAACATCTGAGTCCATAAAAAATTTTCTCACCACTCCTCTTTCTGCTGCGCATCCTGTAAGGCACAGTTTCAATAGTGGCAACGGCCTCGACAGTGCCACCGTTTGTAGGCACAGTGATGGTTGTTTTAGCCACAATCGACTCGTTCATCTGAATCATACAGAAAACAAGTTTATACTTCATGCTCACGATAACTGGACTTGTTTAAACCATTAAATGTTGTGTTTTCTATGTTAAGGGACACGATCAGCTGCAGAGGGCAGCATTACCTTATCTGATGCTTGTCCAGTGGAGCAGTGCTTCTTTACTGCCACTGAAGGAACATCTGAGATCTTTCTTGAAGAGCGCTAATTATATATTTATAAAAATAAAAAATAAAAAAAGACTAATTAGTTCCAGTGGATCAAACCAGCAAAAAACCCTTTGGAGATAAAATGTTTAAACTATGAGATTATAAGTACAGAGATGACTAACTCGTTTCTGCCGTTTGCGCAGTCTCACATTCTTCATCACTGAGGAATCCCAGTCCTAGAGGAAAGGTGGTGAGACAGAACATTGACCAAAACAAGACACTTATTTATTTGTATATGTTACAGTAGTAGGTAGTGACTACAAGTGAAACAGGAAAAATTAGAATATGGTGTAAAAATTCTTTTTTTTTCAGTAGTCCAGCTTCGACTGCGAGACCATCTAAAGGCTCAGGAAACCGTTGCAGATGTTTGGATTCATGAGCTGATTAGACTGTGAGCCTTTGAGTCTAGAATATTGAACCTTTTCACAATATTCTAATTGTCTGACATTTTGAATTTGGGGTTTCAAGCTGTAAGCCATAATCATCACAATTATAACAAATAAAGATTTGAAATATCTGGCTTTGCATGTAATGAGGCTATCTCACATATTAAGTTTCACCCTTTAAGTTGAATTACTGACATAAAATAACTTTTGCACCATATTCTAGTTTTTAGAGTTTCACTTGTAACTGAATCAATATGAAGTATATTTACCAAAGAGTCATCTGTTTGGTCATAGCTGATATCTGACAGCAAAGATGCAGATTCATCAATTCTAGTTAATCTGTAAAGACAATAAAACAATAAAATAAAAAAATGATCTCATTGTCTCTGCTTAATTACAAAAATATCATGCTTTAAAAAATTATTTGCATTTCTCATTATGACTGATTTATAACATTCCCTTCAGGTGGAGTTTGTTTTGCTAGTATTAGGTCACAGATGGGACTGCCACAATGTAAAAAAAAAAAAAAAAACGCTTAAGACTTATTCTAGCCATAATAAAACATTAGAATTATCAAATGTAACTCCAACCAGTATGTAATGATTGGATTATTTGTTTCAGACCTAAAACATTGCCTTACTTACTCTAATTTAATTGAAATTGCCTTTTTATTATGTACTGTGTGCCAAAAAATTAATACCAAATAAAGATTAGAGTCTGCCCTGCTAGTACTCTTAAATCCTAGCCAGAGGGAATAAGAACAAGAGATCCAAAAAGTTATGTGAAGGTCACCTTCGGCTGGACCTGCGGCTGGATCTTGCTGCTTGTGCTACCTGGGAATGGGTGTTGAGAAAGGCCAGGGCTGACCGTTGTTCCTCACTTAAAAGGAGACTGTTGCCATTATTCTCTGAGATCAGCATGTCCCGGATCAGCTGCAGCTGCCGCTCCTTTCATGCAGAAATGGCAGCAGAATGACAAATGGGTTATTTTGTGGTGACAGGAATTTGACATTACACGCAAAACAAAGTTTTAAGTTATAGTGGCACAAACAAATTTTTCGTAGACCGCCTCTGCCTTCTGCCGCCGTTGAATCTCTACGTCCACCTGGTTTCGAGCATGTTTGAGTTTGACCTCTAGGGATCCCTTTTCTGTTTCTGCTTTTGCCAGCATTTCTTTACAGGAAACCAGCTCTTCACCAGCCATCAGCCATTTCTTACGACATTCCTCAAAATTCACAGCTACCTGGAGGAACTCTACAAAACCAGAGAACAGAGGAGATTGTTGTTCTGCTTTGCACAGGTTACTTCAGTGAGGGTTGTGTCTATTAGATAACATAGCTTTTATTGTTTATTTATTTAGCAGATAAATAAATAAACAACAATAAACAAAGGCAGGAAATAACTTACGTGGCTCGATGCTGTCTTTCAGACCGTCCAGTTGAGCTTTGAGACTCATAAACTGGTTGTACAGGTTCCCCACAGACAGCTCCATTGTGTCTAACTGCAGCCTTTACCCCAAAGCAATCACACAAATTAGGGCAGAGAATTATGAAACCTTAATTAACGTTTCATCCAATAATGTTGATGACAAACAACTAGCACTGATGATCTAAGACGCAGCGTTTCAAATACAACAAAAAATTTTAATAAAAACAATCGTGTACGGGTAGTAAAGGCAGAGTCAGAAAATACCAGATTAAACCTTATTTAATCGTGTATGCTCCTCAGTACGATGCTAGTTTAGGTAGGCAAACATCAAAACACGATTAGCATTACAAGCTATGAAAGTACCAGCATTATGCTAGCTGGGGTTGAAAATCGTAATATTTATAAAATAAACTTCAAAGACTACCTGTGCAATCCACTGTAGTCAGGTGGGCATGTACTGTACCAGCGTCCAACGTAATTAAGTAGGTATCTTCTAGTTTGTGAGCACAGCGGGGACACAGCCACACCAGCTAAAGTTTTCACATTCCTTTACTAAGTTCAAAATCAGCGCCGGTTTTTGTTTTTTCCTCGTACGAAAAAAGGGAAAATGGGGCTCGCTGCCGCCCCCTTTGGTTCAGACGCGTAACTGCAGTGGATGTTCTTAGATGCGTACAGATTTTTAATGAATGAAGTGCAGCATTTTTATTCACAGCTACAGAATATGTTGAAAATTATCCACAACACTGATAATGACCTCATTGAGAAAATGAAAATACACCACAATTGTTCCTTTTTTGTATTCATTTGACAAGAAAACAATCATATGCGTAACTTTTAATCCCTGTACAAATAAGAATGGAAATAGAACAGAAAATTAATTTATTGTCCCAGGGAAATTTTGGTGTAACAGCAGCAAAGCAGATTCGCAGTATCAAGATTAAAAAAGGAACAAAGAAGAATGAAAAATGAAAGTGAACAAAAAAGGGCTTACAGTAAAAAATAATAAAATGTTTCATTGAATATATCACATTTAAAGTAAATACTGGGTGAAAGACTGTCGCAGAATATTTACAGGGATTTACTTAGGTAGGAGTGAGAACATGAATGAAAAAAACATGTATATGAGATATGAATGAGTGCAAGTAAATAACGACAGAAACTGTGAAAAGAAAATTAACAATTGAGAGCTAAAACATTGTGTTACACAGGAGCTTCCTTATACATCTCTATCTCTTCCTGCAAGAGACTTACAACATGGTTTACATCAATAATTCTATATAAAATAAAAGTAGTGTGTGTGTGTGTGTGTGTGTGTGTGTGTGTGTGTGTGTGTGTGTGTGTGTGTGTGTGTGTGTGTGTGTGTGTGTGTGTGTGTGTGTGTGTGTGTGTGTGTGTGTGTGTGTGTGTGTGTGTGTGTAAGTAAGTAAGTAAGTAAGTAAGTAAGTAAAAGTTTATTTATATAGCGCCTTTCTCAGATATGAATCACAAAGCGTTGTACAACATGATAAAGATCAGGTCAAATACCTCTAACCAATAAAAACATCAGAAAAACAATAGCAGTGATAAACGTAGAAATTAAAATCATGAGTATAAACAAAGTGAAGGTGTGAACCCGAACAAAGCCATCATTCTGAAACATTTGTGTGTGTGTGTGTGTGTGTGTGTGTGTGTGTGTGTGTGTGTGTGTGTGTGTGTGTGTGTGTGTGTGTGTGTGTGTGTGTGTGTGTGTGTGTGTGTGTGTGTTGGACAGAAGGTCATCTCACCCTTGGACAAATTGGGGTGGGGTTAAATAAATCTTCCTTCATTTCAAGCATTAAGTTTATAGCAATTTTTTTACCTATTTTAAGTCTAACTAGAGTTAGCTGTAAAGATGCAGAGTTTTATGTTTTCTGTTGTAATAGTTTGGCAATCATGGCACACAATTTGCTCTAAATAAATAAACCTAGAATATCTGATGTCTTTGGGGTTGATGTGCAGCTTTGTATGCAGAAGAGGACTTTGTGCAAAAGCCTCTTAGAAAAAATCAGTATTTGAGTGCTTTTGTAGTCATCCTGGGGTAAAGAAAACGGCCACATCATTCATCCACCTTTACTGGCATATCTGGGTGCAGTTCTGCTGCACTGCATTTGCAGGGAAAACACACTCAAACACTGAACCAGTTGTAAAATACTGTACACTTGTGCATCCATTCTATAATCTAAACAGTTTGACAGACTTCAGTTGTTTCCTTCTTCCCTTTTCTAACACAGGTTTTCTGTTGTAGCATTGCATTACACACCCTAGTATTGCATGCATATCCAGTGAGAAGTGCAAGTCCATTAAAGTTGATTTGAGATAATAGGATCTGTCAGTCAATACAGCTTCCCAGTTTTTATCAATAATTCATGTCTCCAGGTACATTTCCTCCAGTCATGGGTCATTTAACTCTTAACACTCTCCTTTACATCAAACACTAGCTGCTCTCTTAAGCTGAAAAAACTGTTTGGGCTATATATCTGTGAATATAATCCTACTTTTGACCAAGAGGAAAAAGAAAATAAGGTATTTTTGTGAACTTTCATTTGCCTTGTGTTTTATTTTACTTCTACATTAACCCTCTCAGGCTCAAAATAAGTTTTGATAAAAGGATAAACAACTAAGTCCTTCAGTCCTTTACTTCTGAGTAAAAAAATGCTCATGAAATACGTATGTGGAGTAACCAGGTAGGTAGGTTTTAACGTTGCAAATCTGCAACGTCTGCCTCCAAGGGGTTAAAAAGAGTTCAATTGCTTGATATTTTAAATTATGCATACATGATAATAACTCTTTAAACATTTTGAATCCATCATATATGAATAGTGATGATGAAAATGTTCCGAAACCTGCAATCGTTCATACAGGAAACACAAGTAATAAAGCGCTACACACTAGACTCCCATTTACCCAAATATACATATGTGCATTGTTTTGTCATCGGTTTATAAAACAACAAAGTAAAAAATGTCCACATTTCAAACAAAACACGACTATCTCAGTGGTGCAAAACCGATCACAAAGCTCTAATGCACTAAAGCTTGAGAGGAAGCACCTGCAGATTATGCTGACTCTATAGGGTCCATCCTCTTCAGCGGAACCATTGGAGGGCTAATGGATCTATAAACACCCTCATGGGTAACACTTGGCAGATGCACAGCTTCTGAGGAGCACACACTGTAGCAGAACACACCCTCCTTACATCCTGTGTTTGTGTACACACGTGAAGGTATGTTTAGAACATTTCATCTCACTGATGCTATTTTTTTCTACTTGTGTATCGTGATTTTTGTGTCTTTCATGTGTAACAGCTGACTTCCTTATTTTCAGAGGCTTTCTGAGTTTTTAACAGACAGGCGTAGCTGTTTTATAGTAACCAGTCATCCCATCCATAATTTCTCGTATTCATGTTCAGGATTGCAGAGAGCAGTTTCTTAATGGCAGTGGCTGTTAAGGTACATGGTGTAAATGGGTCACCAGTCCAGGCCCCACGGAAACAAACATTCACTTACAAACCTAAAGTTAGCTTACCAGTTAACCTGCTTACTTTTGAACAGGATGAAATCAAAGTACCTGGAGAAAACCCACACATACACAAGTACATTCAAGCAATACGCAGAAAGAAACTCAACTGGGAATCTAACCCAGAACCCTCTTGCTGCAAAGCAACTGTGCTACCAAGTGCATGTGGTCCATTCAGCACCTTCTATTGATGACACAAACTTGTTTGCGCAGGTCTCAACACTTAATAAAATAAAAGAATGTTTTCTTCTTCAAGTGGTCAGTGGTGGGTGAGAGGCGAGGTACACCCTGAACAGATGGCCCAAGCCAGAGACTGACAATCATCCACATAAACACTCAGGTCTAGGCAATTTGGAGTCATCGCTTTGCTGAAAACGCAAGTTCTTGCACTGGGTTTAAAAGTGAACATTGCACTTTAACAAAAAGGTTGCACAAAATGGAATGTCTCTCAAGTCAGTTCCTGCCAAATGACTCCACTGGTGTTGAGTGAGTCTGTAGATATGTGGAGAAACTCTGGGCAAGAGAGTACGCTGAGAATATAATGTACATATAGGTGCACTTCAATCTTCCCATCAATTGAATTACAAGAGGAATCTCCCACTCAGAGTGTGTTTACGGGAAGATGCTCCCTCTTTTCCTTACTGCTCTCCACCCAAACCATCATCAACAACAATCTTTTTGAAACATGACACTTGGTAAACACTCTCCACCACAAATAATACACATTTACAGCTGGATTAAACCAATCATGCCTTCCTGCTGGAATGAAAAACAGAGAGAACTCTATAAAAATATGACTTTTATTGATGACAACTTGTTTGAACAGTGTGCATTTTCATTTAAAAGAAGTATAAGAACATTTAAATCAAATGAAAACACCCCCTGTGCACACAAACCAATCCAATAAACTACTTAGATCTTTATCTACTAATGAAAGTGAAATTAGCCCTGTATTGTTCTCAAGGGAGCAGCAAGAACAAATCAGGCAGTGCTGAGTGCTGCTGAGACTAAATCACAACTGACAGTGGTGTTTATCAAAGAGTGAAAGAAAAATGAAAGTTGGAGAAATTTGACACTTGTGAATTGGCTCAGTATCACTGTATTTAACACATTTGTCAGATATATTTTGGACAGTATCTTCCTTGTGCAGATACCTGAAACAGAACATTTATCAATAAACAAATGAAAAAAATGGGGGAAATGGAATGAGAAATAATTTATGGTTGTGGTTCAATTCCTCCTGTTTCCTGATATAATAAATACCGACACATCATGCTAACAAATGCAAAGAGGTACCAAGAGTCCAGATTTTGAGTTCAAGTGTTGCAGTCTCTGTTACATTAATTGTCGTGCATGTTCAAGGATACAGCAAATCGATGCCGAAAGCAGCTAAACAAATAGAATGTGGAAAAGAAGGGCATTGGTGTGTCTGCGAGGGTGCTCATGAAGCCATGGTGCAAATGGGAATGACAATGATGAGGATGATTGTCACCGCAGTGGCAATGAGCGCGAGGAGCTTGCAGATCTTGAGGCGACGGAGGTTAGCCTCTTTTCGCCTTAGCAGCGCGTCATAGCCTGGAGTGTAGATGTCATCCACCCAGAAATCCATGTTGTTAGGGTTCAGCGACTCCTGGCCCTGAGGAACAGAAACCACTAAGTTCATCATAGGAGTCGTGCTGTTGATGCACTTTGAATAGTGAAACCCTCGTCAATTTGTCTTGCTTAATTTTTTTTAATGTACCCGTGTGCCAGTTTTAACAATACCAAGAACAAAAAATGCATTTATAAATTATCGACTAAAATCACAGACCTGTTTTAGAAAACATAGAAAACAGAACAACAATGAATCGTTTTCACCACTGTGGCTCTTTAAGAGTCTATTTCTCTCACCTGCAAGTCCAAAGGAGAGATTCGAGCCTCTCTTTCATCCACAGTCCATATGGGTCTGCCCCTTCCCTCCGCCAGCCTAGGGTCAACGACCCTGCCAGAACCAAGACCCCCCATCAGACTGCTGTCTTTGTGATGAAACAGAGACGAGTTAAGCACCTGTTCCACCACGCTGGTGGACTTTTGGGAGAGCAGATTAGTGGTGCTGTCTGACTGATCTCCCTAGAATAAAAGCAGATTTAATGTAAAATATTAACATCTTATGTTCAAATTCCTTTAAAAGGTGTAGAAATACAAATGTCTGCAGTAAAACTCTTAGTTCACGTAAATTCTACCATGTGCATCAATTTGAACGAATGAGCTTCTCCCACTAACCCATAACCTCTGTGTGTATTCTAGGAATTAATCAGGAAAAATAAACACAGCATGGAGTTTGTAAAAGCCTCTACCTTTCCAATTTTTCTTTGCGACAATTTTCCATCTTTAGTCTTCGAGAAGGACACAGCCCAATCTTTTGCCGAGTTTGTGATATTCATCTGTTTTGTGTCAGAGAGGCTTTTGTCGTCAAGCTGGGTTTTGGAGGCACGACGGGATGATGCTTCCTTCTTTCCTTCTTTTGTTCCTTTAGAATCCGCCTGACCTTTGCTGCTCTCTGTTTGGTCCCCAGTGGTGTTCCATCGGCTCCAGTCCAGACTACTAGTGCTGGTCCCAGGAAAGAGGTGTCCAGTAGCAGACAGCGGCTGAGGCTCTGATGACTCTGAGGGAGTCAGAGGGTGGCTCATAAAAGAGGAGACTCCACTGAGAGGCTCCAGCCACCTACCACCGGTGCTTTGCCCACCACCAATAATCGGCTGCTGGATCTTTTCATCCAGTCTGTGCAAAGCAGAAAGTACCTGAGAAATCTCAGACTTCACATCGTTCAGCGACTCCAGCTGTCTTTCTATTTGACTCATACGAAGTAACAACTTGCACACACTGGCCTTTAACCCATCGTCGCTGCTTTCGAGCGAGTGGAACAGTCTTTGGAGCTGACCTAAGCGACCGCGTCTGCCCTCTGGGGTGTCCTGATTAGCGGTGCTGTCGCTTGGGTGTAGGACTCCCGTAGACCCACACATGCTTATGTCATCTAAGAAACGAAAGATTGCACTAATGTCATCCTCGCAAAACTCAGGGTCGTCCAATGAGGTCATGAAGGAGAAGCGATCGGCATGAACCAAGCTACGGAGTCTCCGGGGGTCTGGTAGGTCAGTCTGTGTTCCCTGTGCCTTTACCAGTTCGCCAACACTTGGCAATCCACTATTGGCACTCTCCCCTCCCGAAGTAGCCCCCAGATTGCTGATAGTTGGAGTAGATCGCCTTGGAAGTTGTCCGGCTTGTGATTCCATGCCCGTGTCCATGCTGCCCACACCTATCCGGTCTTCTAAGCTGTGACTCTTATTACTCCAGAGGGCCTTTTGTGTCTTGGGTGGTCGAAGGTGCCGGGGGGATGAATCTGGGACTGAGCCCGGTCCAAAATAAGTTGAGTCCTGTAAATCATCAAAGCTCTCATGCTTAGCTTTGCGCCGTTGCTCTGGTGAGAGGTGAACTGCAGACGGCGACGGGTAAGGATTTGGGATCATTTCAAAGCTGTGATTGTCGAAGCCTGCGTGTCCTGCTTTGGGACTGGGAGACTCGCTGTTCACTGTCACTTGTGGTATTAGAGGAGGTTGGTTATGGAAGTCTTTCTTGAAGATATTTCTCCTCTGGTCAACTGATGATCCTTGTTCACCATCAAGCACGTCCATTGTGGCAGAATCTCCGCTAGACTCACTGTCTGTCTCCAGAGGCAGGTAGATATTCTTCATAACATCATTGAGATTTGGACTGCTGGGGTATGAATGTGTGGTGTTAGGCAAGTCAAAAGACACAGCCCTCGTCCTGATGGGAGGGGAAGGCACAAATGAGAGGGGATCCGGGGGAAGACTTGCTCGTTTGCGGGCTGAGTAATTAAATTTCGGAAAGAGCAAGTGTTGATCGATAGACCTTCCACTGGACTCGGAGTGGGCACGTGCTCGTTCTTGACCAGAAACATTCAGGGGGTGTAAACCAGGCAGAACGGGGCCCGGGGATTGGTCCACAGGCAGGACCGTCTGGGCTCTTATTGCGTGGCTATCATCAGAGACCCCACCTGTCATCTGAATGAGATTGAAGATGGTTACTATGTCTGCAGCGACTCCTATAGGTGAAAGCCCTTGCCCTCTGGTGGAGACCCGGTCCCTGAATAAAGTAGCTGGAAAACAGGGGTCCCTGCTGGCAGCAGCAAACAACAAACTCCTGAGCTCAACGAGGTTGTCTAGGTCAAAGCGAGTGCTGACCATACGACAGAGGTCCTGGAATGTCAACCACTGCCGCATATTGGCCAATTCCTCCAAGATGCCCAGGAGGACTTCAGGGTATTCCTGCTGCAGGTTAGCCATTGCTGCTCACCTGTTAGGGAGAGAAAAACAACAAGATAGCAGAATAAAGGGGTTTAGATTTGTTAACCACTTTACAACAATCCATGAAGTGACCCTTAAACTCACACTTTTATATCATGTTTCATTTACCGACCAAAGACAAAGCATCTTTTTTATGAGATTTATTTTATACATATAGTCTATTCATTTAAAAGTGTACCATCTTCAATATAACCATCTTTATTGTGCCATAACCATAAATATATCGTACTCAAGACACAATCAATGTAATTAAAATAGATTTTCCTGCCACACAATACATTTATAGTTTATAGAGGAAAGGCATAGGAAAATTGAAGTAATCCTTCTGAGATGAAGGGAGAGTCGTTTATGCAGGACTCTGAAGCGACCTTATTTTGTGGTCTTAAAATAACCCGTCATCTGATCTAGCGATGCTGTCACACTGCGCATCTTTAACTCACTCATGTGCCTGCTACTATACTTCATACATGTGACAAATGTAATAATGGGCTTATTTGGCAACTTTTGATGATGCATAAATTTGGTTGTGATGAGAACTAGTCAGTATAGACTGCATACAAAAATCTATTAAGATGTTGTCTAATTTATGGTTCTAAATGTAAAGACTCCTGCAGAAAAGTAAACATTGCTCAACAGTTTGGATACAATGAAGGTTACGCCCGTTTCTAATCTCACTCACCTAATTTTAATGAGGATGAAATAAAGCCACACCTGTATCCATTTAGAGAATCCACAAATACAGTAAAAACAAGTCCATATTCCAGAAGAAACGTGGTTCTGAACAGCTCATCGTCTCACACTCCTTTCAGGCTTCTGTATGGTAGAAACGACTCGCCCAGAGCCCAGGCAGGAGAGGAGAAAATTAGAAATCAGGTCATCCTCCCACAAGTCCCTGCAGGCCCCAAAGGGACCTCAAATACATCCAAACGGGTTCCCTTCATCACAGATCAGCTGCAACACTTGTGAAGTTGATAGGACCACACTACTGAAAGTGTACACACACAGTTGGCAGCTCACTACGACATGTGTGTCTGAAACAGAAGCATAGGTTCTCACAGGCTGCAAGCTTAGCATATAATTAAAGGGAAGATTAAAGATTGATGTTTTGTAATTGACACGTAAACGCTCCACACTAACAGGAAACCCAATGCTCTGGGCTAAATTTCCCACTAGATTGCTACACAGAGCTGTCTGGCAGACTCCTAGACTTTTCACCATTACTCCGCATTATCATCCATAAAGGGGTGTACTTAAAACCCCATTAGAGCAAGAAAAAGGGCGAGGCTTTCATCGCTGAGTAGCAGCACTCTGCCACAATCAGGAAGGACATCTCTAATTCTTCTAACAACTCGCTGAGAGGTGGGCATCCATCATCCTCTGCACTCAGGGATCAATGCAGCGAATGAGCCACAGAATGGGTGTAAGTATGGGCAGTAATGCATTACTGTCAGGACTGCTGTGCTGCAGTTTTATTAGCTGGTTGGAAAAAAAAGAACACTTGACACGAATGAAAGATCACTCAGCTGTAGAACTTTTAAGAGTATAAATTTTTTATGGCACGTTAAGAAATCTCATTAATCTGCGTCAAACAAAACACTTCAATCTACTTTTGCATAAAAAAAGAATAAGTTGGTCCAAAAAATACATTTTTACAGTATATTAATATTAAAATAATCCAAATCACTATGTACACATTTCAGATGACACGAGACTCTCTTTCTCTCTTCTTTGACTTTGATGTAACCTCTGGAGGTGCAAAAGATGGAGTCAACGACGGGTTCAAAGCTGGATCTAACGCTGGATTCAGCAAAAGCAGGTCCAGCTTTGGCGCGCTGTGTTCATCTGTCAAAACACAATGCATGATTAATACCAGGAGTCTGTGGTCTGACATAAACTCAATTAGGCATTTAGACTTTCAGTCTGTCTTAATGCCGTAAAAACCATTACAACTGATTAATAAAGTAAATAGGAAACAATGAGTGGCCACATAAACAGTGTGGTTAATGCTCAGAGGAAAACCAACAGAGTGGTGAGCTCGGCAACATAAAAAGGCCTGGATGTTGGCAGAAGACAAAAGCTCTGGTTGATTCAGATTCCTTTATACAGGGAGTGCAGAATTATTAGGCAAGTTGTATTTTTGAGGAATAATTTTATTATTGAACAACAACCATGTTCTCAATGAACCCAAAAAAAATCATAAATATCAAAGCTGAATGTTTTTGGAAGTAGTTTTTAGTTTTAGCTATTTTAGGGGGATATCTGTGTGTGCAGGTGACTATTACTGTGCATAATTATTGGGCATCTTAACAAAAAACAAATGTATACCCATTTCAATTATTTCTTTTTAACAGTGAAACCAATATAACATCTCCACATTCCCAAATATACAATTCTGACATTCAAAAACAATACAAAAACAAATCAGCGACCAATATAGCCACCTTTCTTTGCAAGGACACTCAAAAGCCTGCCATCCATGGATTCTGTCAGTGTTTTGATCTGTTCACCATCAACATTGCGTGCAGCAGCAACCACAGACACTGTTCAGAGAGGTGTACTGTTTTCCCTCCTTGTAAATCTCACATTTGATGATGGACCACAGGTTCTCAATGGGGTTCAGATCAGGTGAACAAGGAGGCCATGTCATTAGTTTTTCTTCTTTTATACCCTTTCTTGCCAGCCACGCTGTGGAGTACTTGGACACGTGTGATGGAGCATTGTCCTGCATGAAAATCATGTTTTTCTTGAAGGATGCAGACTTCTTCCTGTACCACTGCTTGAAGAAGGTGTCTTCCAGAAACTGGCAGTAGGACTGGAAGTTGAGCTTGACTCCATCCTCAACCCAAAAAGGCCCCACAAGCTCATCTTTGATGATACCAGCCCAAACCAGTACTCCACCTCCACCTTGCTGGCGTCTGAGTCGGACTGGAGCTCTCTGCCCTTTACCAATCCAGCCACGGGCCCATCCATCTGGCCCATCAAGACTCACTCTCATTTCATCAGTCCATAAAACCTTAGAAAAATCAGTCTTGAGATATTTCTTGGCCCAGTCTTGACGTTTCAGCGTGTGTGTCTTGTTCAGTGGTGGCCATCTTTCAGCCTTTCTTACCTTGGCCATGTCTCTGAGTATTGCACACCTTGTGCTTTTGGGCACTCCAGTGATGTTGCAGCTCTGAAATATGGCCAAACTGGTGGCAAGTGGCATCTTGGCAGCTGCACGCTTGACTTTTCTCAGTTCATGGGCAGTTATTTTGCACCCTGGTTTGTCCACACGCTTCTTGCGACCCTGTTGACTATTTTGAATGAAACACATGATTGTTCGATGATCCCGCTTCAGAAGCTTTGCAATTTTAAGACTGCTGCATCCCTCTGCAAGATATCTCACTATTTTTGACTTTTCTGAGCCTGTCAAGTCCTTCTTTTGACTCATTTTGCCAAAGGAAAGGAAATTGCCTAATAATTATGCACACCTGTTATAGGGTGTTGATGTCATTAGACCACACCCCGTCTCATTACAGAGATGCACATCACCTAATATGCTTAACTGGTAGTAGGCTTTCGAGCCTATACAGCTTGGAGTAAGACAACATGCATGAAGAGGATGATGTGGACAAAATACTCATTTGCCTAATAATTCTGCACTCCCTGTATGGTTTAAAACAAATCATTTTACAATGTTTGCTAAGTGATGTTAGGGAAGACCTGTAAAATAGTTTAATAAATCAATTTGTAAACATAGGCCTCAAAAATCTACAGGTCAGAATAAACCATTATGGTAAATAAATACATAAATGAAGGGTTCAATGATTTAATTAAAAAAACTGAATAGTTTAAAAAACTTCTGTCACATGGATTGATATTTATCAAAAAGTATAATGAGATAAAGATAAGGAGGAGTATTGGGGCAGGTTATAATCTGCACGACACTATGTTGTAAAACAACAGCGTTTACAATAAATGATCTCTTTACACACATTAGATGCTCTACTAAAACTCTTAATAGATTCAGCAAGAGTGTAAAATGACCAGTTCTGATGTACACAGACTGTAAGTACCTTAGAAATAATAAAATGGTTCAGAGTAAAGTAGTTGGTGATACCTGTGACCCCATTGAGCTGAAATTTAAAACCAACACCCAAACTATAAACAAAAGACTCATACACGAAAAAAAGACAGCAATAAAAGTCTGATTAAACATTGCATGTATGGGGATTTTCCAAAATGTTCAGACATTTCATTTTATTTCTAGTTATATTAATAAATTTAAACCCTGATTTCAATAAATGTAATAAAAAAAACTGTAATTTCTGAATCTTCCTCCTGCACTTTTATTGTAGGCTGTATTTTTTTTTAAAGCTAAAAAAAAATTCTGACAAAACATTTCTTAAAAATAAAATATTTACTATGGTAAAAATGGCCTGTATTTGATATAGCGCCTTCTAGAGTCCTGGAACCCCCCAAGGTGCATTACAACACAATCAGTCATTCACCTATTCACACACACATTCACACATGTATTTTCATTCTCCTGGGTGAGACCGCTTACCGAGATCTTCTTCTTCCCCACTTGGTTCCATAGCTGAACTGTGGATAGGAACTCGGGCCAAAGATGCCAGCTCCGTTATGAAGTTATCTTCTGCCTCCTAACGGACACACAAACACAGTGCTCACAGAAAACGTCTGTGCAGGTTCGTAAATACATTCACTCACCTGTCAACAAGTAAACAAGTGCAGCAGACCTGCAGCATACCAACCATTAACTCTGCTTTTATCCTCTCCATAGTTTGATCCAGGGCTACTTTAGTCTGCCTCAGCTCCTCATAAATAATCTCCTGATCCAAATGAGTCTGCTCCAAAACTTTCCTTTTATTTAGTTCCACCCTTTCATGTGAGGAAACAAGAACAAACTACAAGTTATTTTCATTAAATGAGGATAATCTGTCTAAAAATACTTTAACTAGTGTCACACCTCTGTTGGAACTCGGCGGAAGCAGGTTTCTTGCCCCAGTTCACAAGTTCCTTCAGCAGCGTTCTGCTCAGCAGACTGCTGCGGTCCTGCCTCTCATTTGTTTCTGAAAAAAAGTTTATCTCCAATTAAAGGAGCACATCATGACTTTTTTTCTTAGGCTATACTAGCTCTATGGTCGATACAAATCATGTTTATGAAGTTCTTTGCACTAAAACCCTCTCCCGTGAAGCAATGAGTTTTATTGACATTTTCAGTGCCTTCCAGAATGAGTCATTTCAAGGCTCTGTCACTTTGAGAAAACAAGTTGGAGCTGGCCACGCCCAGCAACCCCACTCCCAGGCGGCTATAAGCTGAGAAGCTCTGATTTCCATGAGGGGCTGGAAGTAGAGCTGCTGTTCCTCCAGCAGCAGCTGCGGCTCTACTCCAGGTGAGAGGTGGGCCAATGATAATTTTTTTCTTTTGACATCACCAATGGGGACTTTTTGAAATGGCTTGTTTTAGGCACATAATTCCTAACCCCAACCACTGATAGAAAATGGTCTGACTGGTTATTGCATGGTTGTAGGGCTTACAGAGGCAGTAGAGTCGCATGGCACCACAAAAGGATGCATAACGTGAGTGTTGTATAATATGCTCCCTTTAAAGCTGCTTTCCGGAGTTTTCCCCTTTCAGAAATGATGTATGATTTTTTCTGAAATCCGTAAAAGTGATTATCTCATCACGTACTGTGATAAAATGTAAGCAACACGTTTTTTTTTTTGCTAACCACACCCCCTGCCCCGCAGAGCTCTGTGCAATAGGAAACTGAGCACCAACCAGAACTAACCAATAGCGTTAGACTACCGCTTACTTGCTTCCAATTTAGGGAATACCTCGGCTGATGAAGAGTTGATGAACTTTTCACAGACAAGTAAGTCTCTACAATATAAATATATGAGAACACAACATGAGATTAGAATATTACTCGTAAAACAACGTGTTTTAGCTCTGTTTGTCGGCTACAGAAGCACGTTTATAAACAGAAACGTGAAGCCGCCATCTTAAACAAACAGAGGAATAGACTTTTTGTGTGATATGCTTGTCGGCGACTAGATGGTGCCCTCGGATAAGAGAAATACTCCGGACAGAAGCTTTAAATAATAAACAATTGTTGAAACCAAGAACAGAGATGTAGGTCTGGTTTTATTCAGTAATCTCACCCTGGTTTAAGCTTGAGCGATGCTGCTCCAGTTTAATAGTGATGGTCTGAAGTTGGGAATAGTAGTTTTGGACCAGTGCCAAAAGAGACTCCTTGGTTACATAAACACTTTCTGCAGCAGCCTCCATCAGGTAGTTCTAATAGTGGAAATAAAAAGTACTTATAAGAATCATCCTTCTACTCAATAAAAAAGACTAAAAATGCATTTACTTTTGTGCCAACATCTTGTTTATTGGAGGTGTGTGACTGTGTGGGCGTGGCCTCCATCCTCTGCTGGATGGCGTGGCTGAGGGCGTTGCCCAACACCAACTGAGCGTGGCTCTGGAGAAGCTCTGTAGCCGTTTCCAGCTCAGACAGAAACTCCTGCTGGAGGTTGTTCCCCAGCAGCGCCCCCTCTGCCAGGCTGGTGCTGCTGTTCTGTTTAGAGACAATGGACGTCTTAACCCTCTGATGTGTACCGGTAATCTGCAAGAAGTGATGCTTATAAGATGCCAGATTCAGCACTTTTTTCTAACCTTGAGAGCCGAGTTGCTACATGCCGGGCTTTTGGAGGCACCTTCCACTAACAGAGCCCGGAAGTCTTTCTGAGAGAGTGTTTTCAGCCTGGACAGCCTCATCTCTTTCTGCATGTGCAGACAGAAGTGTCTGAACACAAATGACCTCTGCACCAGCATCAAAAGGTGCTCATGTTTCCCCTCCAACAACTTCCCTGTTTCACTGGGAGAAAGATTGCACTCAGTTATTTCCTAATAAAATAACACAGAGACTGATGTGGAAAATGGGCGTGGCCACATAGAAGAAACTCAGCTGGAAATCTTACAACAGCTTAACAGGACCCTTCACCTGCTGAGAGAGTAACCCTGTCTGGCCACCATGGCTTGAAGGATCTTCATCTGTTGTTCACCTAAATGTTTCAGACAGGCCCGAGTCAGAGCGATCTCTTCATTCCACATCTACAGCAAGAGAGGCTCAGTTAGAAAGAAACTAAAGGTATTCAGCATGAATCAAGTCTTGGAATTGGGTAAAAAGGAACATTTGACGACCATCTTGTTCTGGCTGAATGAACAATGCTGCACTTACCTTTCCATCTTCATCCAGCTCAGTCCTGATGTCCTCCAGCTGCTGTTTGGTGGCGTACTCCATCTGCTGCAGCTGAACAGACAGCTCCTGCTCTAGATCCTGCCACAGTTTCTCACAGCGATCAGCAGAGAGACTTGTTTGAGCAGAAACCGTGTTGAGAAAGACGTCCTTGGCCGTCTCGCCAAGCCTCTTTGACCAGGAGCTACGCAGTTTCTGCAGATATAGGACACTGAATCACTTGTAAATCAAGTGTAAGTTATCACTTGTAAGTCGCTTTGGACAAAAGCATCTGCTAAATACATAAACATAAACAGATGGATCAGAACATCGCACGTATAAGCACAACAGTAACGCAAGTGTTAACTATAAACTGGTGTGTTTATGTGGCACTTTCATGTTTTTTATATAAGGATTCTTTTTTCTTGCTTTGCGACTTTTTGACCTGACAACATGTTATATGCAAACCTTTGCATCTATAATGCACATGACAACTTCTCTGTAGCTTTCTTTTACCTTCCAAAGGTCACCGAGGGCCTCGGCCACCTTGCTGTCCCACTGCAGCTCCAAATCAGAAATCTGCTTCCGGTGTTTCATGAACAGTTCCTGGCAAACCTACAGAGAGTTTCAGCTCCAACTGAGACAGCGGTAGGATCACATTTATATCCAACATTAACTGGTAACGATGACATCAGAGGAAAACTAAAATTGTTGCAGCTTGTAAATGCTTCACAGTCTCATTTCAAAAACAGTCTGGTGATTATTTAAAGTTTAAGAAGAGAGCTAAAAGTTCTGACTGTGGTGAGCTCCTGCAGGTCACTGTGTGTCTCTCCCAGCTCCAGGACTCGGTTCCTCTCATTCATCTGGCTCCTCTGAAGCTTCTTCTTCTTCGACTCCTTTTCTCTGCACTTTTTGTTCACCAGCTCCTTCGTCTTCTTCATGCATTCTGCACCACAAAGTTTGAACTACTTAACCGATGTTAATAACGGACCTTAAAAAGAGTAGTTTGTTCAGTTAGCGTAGTTTTTCAGTTGAACGGCAAGTGCAAAATGCTCTGTATTTGCAGCCAATAATCAAACATTATTTTTGTTTCATTAGGTCAGCAGGACAGCTTTTAATACCAAAATAGAAGTGTCTGGGAGACGTTAAGACACATGATCTTAGTTCTGAGCGGTCCTGGCACAAAAATGACCTTTTTAAAGAAGTTAAAGAGAATTCCCAGAAAATGATCTATTTTAAGAAAGCATGCCCTAAAATCTGAAAAGTAGGTTGAATGTTACCTCCTGGTATTTGATACTAGAAAGTAACAGGAGAATAAAACATCTAAGTCAAACTCACATCTCAGTTCTTTAACATAATGTTGCGGTCTTGTTTAGTCTGTTATTCTCCCCGAGCTACAAATCCACCGTGTTATATAACCATATACGTATATTTGGTCGTTCTTCTGTTGAGGCGTCTTACTCTCGGAGCTCTGTTGAAGGCCTTCTGCCACAGCAGCCTGACTCTCTGAAAGCATCCTTTCCACGTGGCTGAACTTCAAGATGCCGTCACTTGCCAGCTGTTCCAGCATTGCTGCGATCAAACTCTGCCTGAGATCCACTTCCCACCTTAGCAAAGCAGGCTGGGTCTGAAAGAGCCTGGTCAACTCCTCCCACCACAACAACTTCTCCAGTGTACTCTAAGAAATGAAAACTAGCCAAATCAGCCTCGGACGCTCAGTAATCGGTCTGTTTAAACCACAAAGGATGAATAGAAACGTCATGTTGACCATCAGCTGTTGCTTTACCTTCAGACTAGCCTCCTGCACCTTCATCAGGTGCTTCTCTACGAACACAAGTGTCTGAGTGAGGGACACGCTTACATCCTGGGCTTCACGGGGAGAGAAGATGCTGGTCTTTTTCTGTAGAAGCTGACATAAACCCTCTACTTGTCTGCTGAAGCTTTTCGACTGTAGACACAAACATTGGCCATTCTCATGAGTAGATAGATGCAGCTGTTTAAAACATTTCTAAAAAGTTATTAGCTTTCCTACCGTTTGAAGACTATGTTCAAAGAGATCTTTCTGAGCTCTTTCAATCTCTTCTAGTGAACAGGAAGCAGCAGCATGACTCGTCTCTTCAGTCAGGCTTTTCGGCCGCTGTTTCGTCAACTCGTTCAGTTCCTTGAAAGATGAATGAATATACAAATATTAGAGTAATTATTTGGTATTAAATGCTTACATTATAAATGATAGTTATACCTGTTCTTGTTTCTGAATAATATTCTTGGTGAAGTCTGCATCATTTTTATTTTTTGGAAATCTGCAGCCCAATATCATTTTCACCATATGCAGAAAGATCTAAAGTGAAAAAAAAAAAAACACTTGTAAGATTTCTGGCACTATAAAATACAAAAGGACAAGCCAAACAACAACAGCTAACCAGGTGTTTTTCGTCTTCAAGCTGGGAACAGTGACACTGCAAATCCTGCAGGGCCAAACAATAAAGGCTGATCCTTGCTTCAAAGCTGCAGAGAAAACACAGATTATACCTGCAACTATCAGGAGATTAGGATGTTTCATTTAAGCTCGGCATTCCAAAATCTCCTACCCCGTTAGTGTGAGTGAGAGGGGGTAGTGGGGGACCCTGGTAAAACTCTGGTTCTGCAGGCTACTGGGGCCCACCATAGAGGAGACGAATGGATTGTCATCATTGTTGTCCGGCTCCTCGGAGGAGGAGGAGGAGGAGGAATCCTCGTTGGGCATCGGTGGCAACTTTGTGTGTTCGTGTAGGGATGGGTTGGATGCACCGTCCGCTAAGGGCTGAATTTTAAAAATGAACAAGCTTTTTTTTAATCACCATAAAACTTCTAACTATGCTTTTCTCATTAGTTTTAAACTTAATTTCAATGTTTTGATGGAAATTTAACATCCAACTCTTTCTTGCCACATCACATGATTGTATTTTCTTTTGTGTAATAATGTGCAGCAATTTACAGTTTGCAACCTTCTACTGCTTTTAGCAAACAGCTTAGATTGGATGTTTACCAACACAAGTTGTGACATTGCCTTAAACTGCATCATGCTTTGTTAGCCTCATAATAAGTCTGTTAAGTAAGCGAGGTGAACTTACTCTGTATTTCTGGTTGATGGGATAAACCACCTTTGCTCGGGATGCAAACGCAGCCACATCACTGTTCAGAGGCGGCTGCTGACTCACCTGTTCAATCAGAGGAAGGGATAGGTGGACGTTGTTTACTAAATGATGGTTTTGATCAAGTGTGTATGCATTTCTGTTAGCCTCAAACTAACTTATTTGAACGTATAATTTAAAATTTTGAATAAAATTTACCCAACCAATAGACTCCTGGGGGATAGATTCAATATAGAAGCTGGTAATTGTGTATTTTGTGAAACAGAAGAGGAGGACTTAGACCATCTATCTTTTGTGCAATTTTATACAAATATTTTGGTTAGATTTTCATGCCTGGCTTTGTTCTAGTGGGATTCAAATTTCCCCATTTACCTTAAATATGATAATGTTTGGAGTGTTTTTGAAAGAAAAGAAAGTTAGTTATGGTGTTAATGTGTTATTAATTTTGTGTAAACAATTTATACATAAATGTCGATTTTTTAAGACCAAACCAACACTGGCCTATTGGAAAAATGACTTAAAATTATTAGTTAAATCTTTGAATTTAGTTAAAAAGAAAAAGGCTGGTTTGTTTATTTCCTTTGTAGAAGATTTTGAGTTAGTAAGTTAATAATCTGTTAATTATGCGACCCCAGCTTTAGATTTTCTTTTTTTATTATTTGTTTTCTTTTTCATATACGTGAAAATGTTGAATATGCATGTAATGATTATCTTTTGAATATATAATGTAAGGTGCAGTTTGTTTGTATGTTATCTTCTCTAATTAAAAATAAATAAATAAAAACTTCTCCATCTCCTGAGGCGCGTTGCAAAGCAATTCCCCGCCAGGACAACAGAGGGCGTAGCGCTGTTCTGTGGTATCCTGTCATGTATTCGGTCCAAGATGAAGTGTTTATAGTGTTTTTCTGTATATACGACTTTTTAACACAGACAAATTTGTCTCTCATTCTCCTCCACCTCTTCATGCGCTCGCCACCTCTAAACCCACGTTTCCTGTCATTTCCGTCCACAAATAAAATGCCTGCTGCGCATCTTTTCACTCCTCCAGTCACGGGGAATTAAACGTTCATATTTTTAGAGTTTTTTCACGAGGTGTTCTTAAAGCTTCTCCGTGTCTGCCGCTAATTATTCTCGGCTGTCTTTATGTTTTTGAGGGCGCAATGGCGGTGGTGTAGACGACAGCGGTGCCCCGACCAATCACAAGCTTGCGTTCTCCGTCTCGACAGACGGATGTTTAGATAAGAGAGCTCGACTCCGTACGTCCTTGCGGGGCTCTCCAGCAGGCCCGCAAGGACGGATAATGGCGTTGCGTGTCTCGGCACTGACGCAGAAGCATGAATCAGGCTTAAGACTTGGCTGCTTCTATACCCCACAGAAGCAGTACAGCAAACGTCATGCTATATTGCTTTAGCCAATAGTGACAGCTGATTCACATTCAAATGCAGTGCAGACTTTTAACCTGAAGAGGGTGCTACATTGACAGTTTTAGGCTGAATCTTTAAATTTTAAATTTAAAACGCCAAAATAATTACTACACATGTCTAAAGCACCATTAGACACTCAATTGAAGTTTATCAGCTCTAAAAAGTTCATTTGGGGGTGAATTGCTTTTTAAGCTCAACCTGTTAATCATCCACTAATTAAAATCAGGTGTGATGAAGCAGATAAACTGTACTGGGTCCCTTAAAAACCTTGATTGGATACCACTGATCTATGAAAAATAAAAACTAATACTTTATCATCAGTGGTCCCACTTGAAGCCTTCTTTCTGTTTCTGACACCATCACTGTGATTGCCCTCCATGTTTCCAACATCTGGTTCAAGAAGCCTCCTTGCATTGTAACCCTAGAAAGAAAAGTATCAATGAAAACAGTGACTTGAGTCAGTAGGTGCGACTTCTCGTGTGTTAGGAACTTACTTGTCTTGTCAACATCAGCGGCTTCATGCAGAACACGTAGAGGAGAGCAGCAGCTAGTATCCCCGACAGTCCTCCGCACACTGAAATCACGGTTATCAGTCCGACGGAAACATACAGAGACCCGCCGAAATTCACCAACACATCGGCGGAGCAGTCCACCGACACCTCCACTGCCATTTCTAATTAGGATCAGGAAGAGGGGAAATATAAAGGTTGCCGTTTTCGTGCATTAGCATTCCCCAAGGTTGATAACTTAGTTCTGAAGCTGAACGCAAATCCCAGAGACGACCTTTTCGGCTTCCACACACATTTTGATTAAACAAAGAGTGCAAAAAATCGGCGTATAAATATCTCCTTTCTTAATGAGGAGATTATCTGGCCAAAGAATAAACAGATTAAAAAGAGGTGAGCTTCGTCAAGACAACCAAACAAGACGAAACTTCAAGAAATTAGACCGGAAATGTAATGTGGATTTTCTATGTAAAAGCGCAATTACGAGTTATTGTTTAAAGATGCCATATTTAACAATTCTGGTGTAATGTTTTTTATATAAATTTACATACAAAATTAATTAGTTTACTCGACAACAATAATGTCAATGTTTTGTTTTGTCGAAACATTCAACTGGCTTAGTCGTAGACTTTTGTTTTGAAAAGCAGAAACGGAACTGTAGTTTAACAATCTGGGTTTGACACATTCCCGTTTTTCCCTTCTGCCCAACTTTTGGAAACTTTTTCCCCTGAACTATTTCGTACGACTTTACGACGTGGAAAAAAACGCATTCAGGCGAGCACACTAAATTTTGATAACCAACGAAGATGACTTTGTGCGCCAGATATCGTTTTACATTTGATGTTTGTGAAGAAATGCAAAGGAAATATTTTCACGATTTTAACGGGCACAATGTAGCGGGTTAGCTAGCGACGGAGCTCGGATGTAGCTCATCGCTTTACGAATGTTTCGGGTACACGTAACCGTGGAAAAGCTTCTGATATGGTTATTTCTGCTGCATGTCAAAGTTTCGTGTTTGTTTTCATCCCCCTTGTATGTTTGTTGTTGTCATTTCGTGACACTAAGGGCTGGATATCCTCATAACAGTACCTGGTGCAATACAACTCTTAACTCAGGAAAACAAACCGTGAGTAACTTAAATATACAAATGAAGATATGTTAAACATTTAAATCTTCTTCTTTCCTTAAAATGATAAGTTGTTGTTTTAACTTTTATTTAACATTCAATGTAGCTTATTTTCACCAGTTTACACCAATATTATAATCTTTTTGCTACGTATTAGGCGAATAACAATGTTGTTTTCTCCATTGACAGAGTTTTTGCACTTTTCATCATGACCAAGAAGTAAAGTCAGCAGTCCTGTCATTGCTCAGGATAAATGGTTTGCAAATTTCTATTAAGTCAGTGTGTAAAGTGATTAATCTAACACAGTCCATGTTAATTGTAGTTAATTACAGGCCATGTGGTCAATTTAAATTAAAATGTTAGTAAAACTTAACAATGAATGTAAGGAAGTGAAGATTAAAGTAACAGTATGGGTGTAAATTTTGATTTTCAGATATTGTATTGCTTTTAAATATATCATTAATCTACTAGGTACAATGGGTGCCAGTCAGCCAGTGCTGTTTCCTGGATGGAGCCCACCTTCCTCTTCAGCTCCTGCAGGCCCATGGGGACACTCGTTTTACTCTTCATTCAGCTTCATGTCAAGCAATTTTCACCTCAGGAAAAGCAGAAGCACACTCATCAGTCAGAACCCTCCACACCTCCCTCCTCAGGTGGTACTGTTTTTTTTTTATCTGATGAAAACACCTGATATTTTGCATATTTTAGTTAATAAATCATTTGAATGATTGTGCAGGTTCAGAGTGTGGTCCCTCCATCTTCATTTAGGTTAAAATTTCACAAGTGTGCCCAGGTAAACTAGTATTTGTATAAACTAATTGAAAAACACGTTGCTTGGTTATGTTTACATAAACATGTTTAAGACTAATAATTACGTTTTTGTTGTTTTTCTCGTCTCCAGGTGAAGCTTGACACTAACCCCCCTCAGCTGATGTTCTTTCTGCTGATACACAACATGGGTCCTGTGGGCGGCACCAACCTGTCACAGGTTGTGATCCGGGACTCCATTTCTGGAATAATTCCCCTAAAAACCGAAGGCAGAGTGGTAGAGAAAGGCTACCAGGCATTTGCTATTGATTCCCTCATGGGTGTGTCACTAAGTTGGAATGTTTCAGAATGTTATTAACACACATTATTTCAACTTCTGCTTGTGCAGATCTAAACTAACACAATTTAATTTGTTTTGCAAATTTAGCTGGTTCCCAAGTTGCTGTTAATTATACAGCTCATGTAAGGAGTCACGAGAATGAACTACTCGATCTTCCTGCTTTTCTGACATTCTCTAATGCCTCCCAGGTATTTGGTCTTGTTCTAAGTCATTTGTCAATTAGTGTGTTAAACTTTCTATGTAAATAGAAGATTTCTGGTCAGCTTAACAGTTTCTTTGTATTTCTGTGTACAGAATGATGTCCGTATGTTTGGACCTTTAACAGCTAATCTAACGCTCAGGGTGAATTCCACGAACCAGGTAAGTTTGACAGCTCATTTGACTCATTCACTGCCAGCCGTTTCCTGATCGGTAAAGCCCTTCGCTGCCAGCGTTTCTCACCATTTTTACTGTTTTTTTAAGAGCCACAGACTCTTGCGCGCAAGGATGATGTCGACACCAAAACAACCAAAACAAAGCTGAGACTCGCCTCTCACATCAGGAAGAATCTACGCGTTTCGAGCGTTATCCGTTCTTTCATAATCCGTTGTTGAATTGTGATCGGCAGAAGCTTTTCCGGTTCGTGCCTCATTTTTTTACAGCAACAGCCCAAAACGATCTCCCAACACATGGATTTTCTGCTTCCTGATCGCGTGACGTGTGACGTATGTGGATGAAGATCGGCTTTAGAGCTGGGATGTTTGTTCTCACGGTGCGGGGGCTCGTTCCGACGCCCACACTGTAAAAAAATGCAAATGACAACTTAAGTCGTCGATAGCAGTGAATGAGTTCATAAAAAAATCTGCTTATTTAAGTATCGCGTATTTGCTCCTGTGGTTTTTAATGAAAAATCTCTCCACTCTCTTAGATTTATCCTAACCACAGAGTCCATTTTGCTGGATTTGTTGCTGGGTTCTTTATCACTTTGGTGCTGCTGTTGCTGGGGCTTCTAGCCACGAACTTCATAAATCCATCAAGAACTCGCCTTTTTCAGCAGAGGGTACCACAACATAAATAAATATGTTTGTTTGAACTCAACCTAGAGCTTCTGTTGATTTATAACCGTCTGTTTCCTTGTACATGTTACAACGTTTGCTTCAGAGGAACAGGTGTGATTCAGACCCTGAGGATGCAGAATGCAACATGAACGAGACGGTGAAAGATGAAGCTGCATTTGAAGACAAAATTGTGGATGTCATGCTGCTGGAAGATCCTCAGAATATGTTTCAGGCTTTGGAAAAGTGAGTGAAATCACCCAAAAATGGAAAACATTGCAAACACCTGTACAGGATATTATTTAACCGTGCTAAATCTTTCCAAACGTTTTTTCTGTTTCTGTTGCTTCAGCCTTGAAATGTCTTCGCTGCTGCATGCCACCAGTAACCTGGAGGCCATCCGGATTCAGATCCACAAAGACTTGATGTCCCACTTGCTTAAGGGCATGCGATCGCGGGGCCAGACCAGTGTCCAGGCCCAGCAGCGGCTGCTCCGAGTGCTCCACGGGCAGCTGCTGGGGATGGAGGGCCGGCTGAAAGAGGAACGAAGGGCCCGTATGACCGCCCTGGCTGGTCAGTGTAACCTGGAGACTCGAGAAGAAATGGAAGCCGAGCATTGCAGAGAAGCTGCTGAAAAGGCCCAGGCCCAGCTGCTCTGTCAACACGCCAACCAGCAGGTACTAACACCAACTAATGTGTGATTGTGTTTTGTACGATGAGCTGTTTAGTCACAACGATACATTTGTGGCATGACCAGGAACTCCTCCAGTGCAGTGTCCTCCTAGAGAAGGTGCACAAGCTGAGCCAGAGTCGGCTTCAGCGCATCCTCTTGGCTCGACACGAGGAAGCCTCAGCTAAGGTTCAGAGGCAGATTATCGAGTGGCGGCGAGTGGAGCTGCATAAGATCTTCTCAGAAGAGCTGGGAGAGGCCACAAGGATGGGCGAGTTAGAGAAAAGCACGGCGCGAAGCCTTCAGCACGAGTACTTCACCTGTCAGGTGAACAAACATATTTAAGATCTGCTTACTTGCAGTTTGAGATTTTACTCAACATTTGCATTTGGCACATTGTCTTTGTAAGGTTTTGTTTAAACATGAATTACTAGATCATTTAGGGAAGGCTGCTGACATGAAGTTCAGTAAAGTTACTTAAACGTGGAAATTTAGATCAGTTAACAAAAACTAGATCAGGACTTTAAGAGATCAATTTGGTGTATTTGAAATTTTTTTTTTAATCAAAACTAAAATATCAAAGAAGAACAGTTAGTTTTTATACAAGAAGGTATTAAAATGGCAAAACTGCAATTATTGGTGTCCAAATTTTCTAAACAATTAAAAAATGTAACTAGAAGAGTTGAACGCGACACCAAAGTTATCGCACCTTCTCACAATATTTTTGCTTTATTTATAATTTTTTATCGGTCCCATTTCTATTTGATTTATGGTTTTAAATACAGTACAGCTCGTCAATAAAAAAACATAATTTTTGTCTGTCTATTTAATATTGGAGTTAATCAACAATTCAAAAATGCCTTTAAAGCTTTTTATGTATTCTTTCACCAGGATCAGCTGGAGGAGGTGCTGGACGTCGTCGTTGCTAATCAGCGGTACGTGTTGTCTGAACGCAGCGCACAGAGGAAGTTCCTGGTGCACAGCCTCCACAGCCTGGAACGCCTGATTTCTGACACCTTCTCTAACACCTCCATCAGCTTGGACAGCTGGTTCAACCACATAAGGAGGTTGGTCCAATTTACATTTAACAAAAAGCACAAAAGAGTACTGGTACCAAAATACACACAATGAGGAAGTTGTTTGGTGTACATACTGTAAGTTTAAGCTAATCCTTTAGTTTTAAAGGTTGTCCTGCTTTTCTGTTCGAGTTTTTAATTTAAATAAAACACTAATTGCCAGGGCTGCCCTTTGACACCGGTTCTGTTCATTACCTTTATGGACAGAATTTCTAGGCACAGCCGTGGTGTGGAGTGTGTCGAGTTTGTTGGCAGGAGAATCTCGTCTCTGCTTTTTGCGGATGATATGGTCCTCCTAGCTTCATCCAGCTCTGACCTTCAGCTCTTGCTGGGTAGGTTCGCGGCCGAATGTGAAGCGGCTGGGAAGAGGATCAGCACCTCCAAATCTGAGATCATGGTTCTCGACCAGAAAAGGGTGGCTTGCCAACTCCGGGTTGGGAGAGAGGTCCTGCCTCAAGTGGAGGAGTTTAACGCCGGGGACACACCGGCCGCGGAAGCGCCGAGAAGCGAATCGCTCACGAAATTCGGCCGCTGCTTGCCGCTCCTCAGTTCAGATCAGGCGCGCCTCGGCTCAGCTGTAGTTTTTCTTTTAAACACTTGGTGTCCTCCATTTCCTCTGCCTTTTCTCAGCTCTTTTCCTCTACGTTTGAGTGTTTGTACGCGTGTGTGTGTGTGTGTGTGTGTGTGTGTGTGTGTGTGCGTGTGCGTGTGCGTGTGTGTGTGTGTGTGTGTGAACCTATGGTATGAGTTGTTTCTGCCAGTTGAATCTCTTGGAAATGGGTTGATAAATAACCATGTTTTTCGGGGGTCGTACAGCTCCTCGTGTTTCTCAACTTACATAATTCATTTAAAGTCATCCATCTTAACTGCTTGCCTCAGACCTTCTGCCTCTCTGTCCTGTTTGCTCCAGTGAAAAGACACCCAAAACCACACCCCCCTTCACGTCACACACGCACACAAGTTCGATGTGTGTGTATGTGTGTGTGTTCGTGTGGTTTTTCTGCAGTGTCTGTTTACGAACACATTTGACTATTGCGGAATTTTATTTTGAAATGCTTTATTTTGTTAACTTTACCGGCCTGCCTCTTATGTCTACGTTTGACTTCCTGCCAGAATTGACGCAATTCACCCGCGGCTCGCGAAAAAAATAGAGCCGACGCCGAAATGATCGCTGCACGGCGCGGGCTGGAGCGCCGGCGCGAGGCGATTCGCAGTGCTTCGGCGGCCCATGTGGTCTATAGAATAGCTTAACAAGGGCACCGAATGAAGGCGGCCCCATTTTCGCGGCGCTTCCACGGCCAGTGTGTCCCCGGCGTTAGTATCTCGGGGTCTCGTTCACAAGTGAGGGTAGGAGGGATCGGGAGATCAACAGGCGGATTGGTTCAGCATCTGCAGTGATGCAGACGCTGAACCAATCTGTCATGTGAAGAGGGAGCTGAGACAGAAAGCCAGGCTCTCGATTTACCGGTCGATCTACGTCCCAATCCTCGCCTATGGTCATGAGCTTTGGGTAATGACCGAAAGAACGAGATCGCGGATACAAGCGGCCGAAATGAGTTTCCTCCGTAGGGTGGCCGGGCTCAGCCTTAGAGATAGGGTGAGGAGCTCGGACATGCGGGAGGGACTCGGAGTAGAACCGCTGCTCCTGCGAATCGAAAGGAGCCAGTTGAGGTGGTTTGGGCATCTGTTCAGGATGCCTCCTGGACGCCTCCCTGGTGAGGTGTTTTGGGCATGTCCTGCCGGCAGGAGGCCCCCGGGTCGACCCAGGACACGTTGGAGAGGTTACATCTCCAATCTGGTCCGGGAACGCCTTGGGGTCCTGCCAGAGGAGCTGGTGGACAAGGCCGGGGAGAGGACAGTCTGGAGCTCCCTAGTTGGGATGCTGCCCCCGCGACCTGGACCCGGATAAGCGGAGGAAGACGGCGACTAATTGAAAATCTTGAGGGTTGAAAAATAATGGGGAATTTGTAAACTCCTTTTATGAAATACATATTTAAAAATATAAACTGATGAAACTGTAATTTCTGAGACCTAGTGCCTAGCTTACAGCCTTCAAGTGAAGATGTCCACTTTTGTATTGCAATTTAATGAATATACCTTTTGCAAGAAAAGAAAATAATTTTGCATATGCATGTATATTTTAGTCTTTGTGGCACTGGTATGCTTGAGTACAGTAGTGTTTTTGTTTTGTTGTGCTCTCCACCAGAGGGAGCCTCATACCTGCAGAGCAGATGGACCAGCTGCAGGAAAAGGCTCAGACTGAGCTGCTGATGGTGAGACAGAGACTAAGTGAGACGCTGAACCAAGAGAAGAGAGCTCTGCGCTGTGGACTCATTAAGAAGAGGAGGGAGCTCATCTCTAACTTGGTGAACTAACAATGTGTTTTCAGCATGTTGTTTATTCATGTGGGAGGAAAGAAGAAAGCCTCCTAAAGGAACATAACAACAGTAATGTCACATATATTACTACTTCTGCAGCTGAGAGTCCACAAACAGAGACAGAGGGATTTATCAGTTATCTCCAAAAGTCTGGAGGAAGAGAGAGAGATAGCACAGCATCTACAGTGTTGGCAGAGCCTGCTGACAGCTCACTGCGTGGAGCTTGCAGAGCTCATCAACACCCTGGACGAGGAGGCTGCTGCAGACATACGCAAGGTGCAGCTTTGGCAGTGCAAACAAGGATGAGTTATTTTAAATAATCAAATGACCATTTCTCTTATTGTACTTTTTTAGGTAGCAATGCGAGTGATCCAGGGCGCCATAGCAGACATCAAAGCCATCCAGCCATCTGCTGCTCAGGCTGTGTTGTCACTTCTGCCACCAGGAGCCAAACAGCCAGTCCTGCAGGTGGAACCAGACCCTGGGCCCGGAAAGACCTCGGCACAAGGGGCTGGCGGTGTCCTGCAGGGGCAGGAAAGACTTCAGCAGGAAGGCAAAGCAGCTTTACACACCCTCATCTGCACCAGGGAGACTCTGCAGGAAGCCATGGAGAACGAGCTGCAGAACCAGAGGGAGATCAGGACGCACTGGAGAAACTTCTTCAGGTTAAAAGTGAAACACAAAAATGTTAGAATTTGCTTTAGCGACAGTTTTTTATTCTTAGTACAATCATGTAAAGTTTTAAGTCTTCTGAGTAGTTCTCTTATCAGATTTTCTTCTCTGTTTCAGGTGTTTGTGTTTGTCCCAGCTGACTCTGTCTGAAGATGACCGGCTGAGGATGAAGCTCGAGTTTCAGAAGTGTCTGTCCATGTCTGACCTCTGCGTCATGCTTCCTCACACCAGCTCCAGAACCAAACTTCATGCTGCCTTGGCAGCATGGAGAAAAGAGCATGAGGAGCAGATGGTAAATAAACCACCACCTGTTACAGAAATCAGTTTAAATGCCCTAAAGACTAAAGAACATCGTCCTCTGTCTCATAAACTTAGGAAATCCACAAGACCGTCTGTAGATGAAGCCTTCGCCGCTCTAAGATCCGTGAGGATTGCAGAAGTGTAACTATTTATAAAATCAGGAAGCATCAGTTATTTAACATAACTTACTCTAAACAGTTTTGTTTCTCCTTTAGTTTTCCTCTAAAACAAATTCCCTTCACAGGAAATCTTTGTTTTGACATTCCTTAAGTGTTTGTGATATTTCTGCTCTGAGTTTCCTCATGAGGCCTTCATTCAAATATTGCACATAAGTGATTTTAAGTGCTTAAAAATTCTGCCGAAGGAAAACAATCTACCTTTTGATGTCGTCTCAGATAGATGAGAAGCGGTAAGCGCTCACCTCAGGTTCCACCCGCGGTGCCGTCGAGCCTGAAACGCCGTGGCTGCTCTTGCTCAGGAATAATAAAAAGCTCCGCAGGGTGCTTTCATTCCTAATCACATCACAACCCTGCTCCTGGAGTCCTTTTCCAACCATTCTTGTGGATTTTGTGGTTTGTTGCAGGCAACTATGCAATCCGAGGGGAAAACCGCCGAGGCCAGAAAGAAAACAGACACATCTGATGTGGTGTTTTTCCAGAAGAGGCTCAAGAACAAGATTCAGCTGTTTGAGAAGGAGAAAGAGATGGAGAGCAGTGTTATGGAGAAGGTGGTGTTCTTTTACTTTTCCTCAGTTATTTTAGCCCTATAGTCCATCCAAGTTTTCTAATAAAACTGTTCATACCACAGTTTTTAGTTTGCATTGACCATTAAACTTATCCCTGTCTGATTTTGGCAGGTGATGGAGGAGATGCAGAAGGAGAGAGAGGAGTATTTGCACTCTCAGGCGGACGTCCTGGCTGTGCAGATGGCCACTATCAGTTACCAAAAAGCTGAGAAATGGACCAAAATACTGGAGATGTCCAGAGCCACTGTCACCCTGCAAAGCCTGCTCATCCAACAGCTCAGGGAGACAAAAAACCTGGAAGTAAACAAAATGGCTCAGAGTATACACAGATGCCGCTCGGTAGGCTGGATTTAACTCCTGTTTCAGAGTTCATTTTAATCTTTCCTTTGTGACATGACTTCATTTATTAGTTTTATTATTGACTTGAGGTTTAATTTGATTTCTGTCTAAGGGTTTAGAAGAAGCAGAGCAGCTTCAGATGAAGAGGAGCATGTTGGACAGTCCACAGATGTCTCAGCTTGGAGAGGTGTCGAGTCAAATCCATCACGGAGAGGAGAAGAGTGAGAAAGACGACATGTTTCAGCTGCAGTTGGACTGCAGGATGACAGTCATCCTGCAGGAGGCGCTCCACAAGTGTGAGCAGGTCCTCACATGGATGTTAGAAAGGTGTGCTGGCGTTTCTGAGGTATTTAAGGAGTAAAGGTTCAGCTAAGACCCATCAGGTTCTCTGACATGTTTTCCAGGTTTGAAGCTATGACTGCCAGCGATCAAGCAAAGGAAGAGTTGAAAGAAAAAGTAAAGCTCAAGAAAATTTATGCAAACTGTGATCAGGTCAGGTTTTGTTCCACGTGTGCTACAGCTAACAGGAATTGTGTTTCTGAGTGCCTTCGATGCAGTGTTCTAAAATCTGTTCTTTGTCTCAGGATCTGAAGTTTGCATCTCAGCTTGTGATGCAGAGTCCCGTCTCTGAGGACGTCCTCTTGGAGACGCTGCGTCTCCTGCTTCCAACCTTGGCCGAAGGTGAACTTCTGTTCATCATCGACGCCCTCTGCTCCAAACAGCATCCTGCTTCAGCTTCTGCTGAGCAGGAGCCCTCGAGGTAAGGGTTGAATTAGGGGTAAATTGAGTGAAGTTCAGATAAACGCTGTTGTTTTGTGTTGGATCATGTTTAAGAACTTGTATGATTTATGGGGAACCTTCCTCTTGTGCCGCAAACCTTTTTCTCTGGACCAAGTAGCTGATAATAGCATTGTTTTTTTTATTTTATTTAATCATTATTTTACCAGGAAGTCTCTTGAAAGAAAACCTGGGAGATCTGACATTCTTCATTTTTCGACTCTTCATGTCTAGATTTGGTCACCAAAAAGTCTGCATAGTAGAGATCTACGTTTTTCTATTGTTGATGGCCGATATGTGCTGTTGATGTTTGGGGGCCAGTTTTCATATCTAGATGTGTTTCACCTTATCTGCATGCAAACATGTCACAAATAACAGTTGGTACACAACATTTCTGAACCTGAATCAGTTTTTAACCACCTCTTAAAGGTGCAGTATGTCAGAATGTAGTGAGAATTTTACAGTTGAGAAAATCCCAAAAGAGTCTAATGTTTACTGAAACATATTTCATAACCAGCTGGCTAGTAATCGGAAAGTTTTAGGTTCAATCCCGGGTCCTGCCAGGGAATTCTGCTGTTGTGTCCTTGGGCAAAACACTTAACCCACCTTGCCTGCTGCTGGTGGTTGGAGGGACTGGTGGTGCCTGTGCATGGCAGGCCTCGCCTGTCAGCGCACCCCAGGTCAGCTGTGGCCACAGTAGCTCATCATCTGTGTGTGTGTGAATGGGGGTTGTTGAACCCTAAGAAGGTGCTATACAAATACAGGCCATTTACCGTAAAGAAATGTCATTTGACAATATTTTAGAGCTTTTACTAAGCAAAAGTTTTTCAGGAGCATAAATATACATTTAAATCAAATTCGGCAGCAGCGGTGGGCTGCCTGCGAATGTGCCTGACTTTAAATCGGCTCTAATAAAGAGGTATATCAGCAAATGCAAAATATAAATAATATTAAATATCGGCTGTTTGACATATTTCTCTATTAGTATTGTGTGAGTTAACATTTGTTTTGTGTTGCTTATTTTTTAAAGAATGCACACGCAACTCCAAACTCCGTTCTGAGGTTTAACAGAAGCTTTCTACACGAAGTCACTGAAGGAAAACCTGAAACACAGCCATCTTTAAGCATCGTCTTTCATTTAAAGAAGTAATGCTGCTCCACTGGGGTCATTCCCCCCTGAGCAAAGATAGAAAGATAAATTATTTTACTCCTCATTTAATTTTCCTCTCTTCCTGCAGCCCTGGATCGCTGTGGTGTGTCCCCTGCTGAGTTTGGATTACTTTCCTGATGATTAATGCCTCAAACACGAGGCCACATAGAAATCCTGCAGTTTAGCTGCAGGTCATGAGAACAAGAATATTCCCTTGCAACATGTGCTTCACTTTTTCTTTTTAGTTGTTTTGTGACTTTTAGATCTTAGGCTTTAGTGTTAAGTCGAGGATGTACTTATTCAGAAATCATATCAGTTTATATTAAATTATGCCATTACAGTAAAATGTAAACACCGACTAGAGTTTCACCATTTTTAGAGAACAAAGTCACCATCATTATGAGATAATTCAGACAAAAAGTCTTTGTTTTTCTTTGGGAGGAGCCCTTTTTTGTGTAAATTTCATACAAAATTTTATAAAGTTCCCGTTTTAAAAAGTCCAAGATGTGACGACTATCTGCCAAAGCAGAAAAATCAAATCCTCTATAAGATGATCATTATTCCTTTGTAACTTTGCAGTTTGCTTGTTTTACAAGGAAATGTTTTGGTTCTGTTGATCAGTAACCTGTAAAGCATTAGTAATCAGCATACAACACTATTACTGTTATTATGAAACATTTTCTTACTAAAATCTGACCAGAACCTGGATGTTGAAGTCCAGATCCAATGAGCTCTCCCTAGGGGCTGGTTTCACTACATGTTTTAGGTCCTTGGGTGTTAAAAAAATCACAACTTTATTCTAAAATTAAACCTCAGATTTTATAACACACCTGCTGATCAATATGGATTAATTTTAAAGACCAAGTTCACTGTGAAACCATTTTTTTCTTGTTATTTTTTAAACATGATCGGTCACTCTGAGTTTCACATGCAGGCTAACGATGAAAGCAGTCCTCTAGCCCTGCATTAGCTGCTGATGGAAAATAGATGGTGAAATGCTCAGATTAGAAAAGCCTGACGGATCTACATCAGAATGAAAATTAGCATTCATGGACTCATCCATTTTGGCTCATGATGGGGAAGGCTGTTGTTAATTTGGCATCAACAGAGAGGAGAGAGTAGAGCACATCTCAGCCAGTAGAAGCTAACTGTTAGCATTAGCAACTCCACCACACAGCAGGATCCCTTCAAGTTTAAGTTATTTGTGGAGATGAAGCATCAACATTGCAGAGCAAACGGAGTCATTGGTGGAGTCGGGTTGCTTTTAGCCAATCAGAGGCGAGATGTTAACAGGAAATAATGAATAAAACTCCAAATCCTGTTTTCTGCTCACTTCTACTTCCTGAAACAGGAGTGTCAGAGCTGTTTTCTACAGAGATCGACTCACACGGCATTCATTTATACTAGTGTCAGTCTTTGACTGGCGGAAGCTCCAGTTCAGAGAGAAAACAATGAGTAAGGTTGAGATAGCTTTATTGAAGCACCATGTCACATGAACCCAGAAACAACCAAATCTGTCTTTACTGGAAGAGACCAAGAAAAGGGTAATCAAAAAACCAAAACCAAACAATATTTACATAAACCTAACACCAGACATTAAAATGGTACCAGTAAATATTTACATAAATACAAATCATTCAACTTCAACAAATCTAAAGTCAATCAACCAAGTAAACCAAATTTTACCTAACTTCTCTAAGCCTCACCCCTCCTCTAAATGGTAGGCTCCAAGAACTTTTAAGCAGCACTTTGGGTTTTCATCTCCCTTTGCTGCCCCGCCCTGCTAAGGAGACAAACCAGGAAGAGGTGAGTCAGTGCATACTTTCAAATCATATCTTAAGGATTAACTCAATTTAAGCAAACACAGTGATTAAATATAGTTGACTTTCTTACTCCGTTCTTAACAGGAAGGATGGCCAATCCCTCCAGCCTCCAGGAATGCCCCAACACTCAATAAAGAACCGAAAAACAAACATGTTGTCTTTAACTTAATCATACATAACATAATACCAATAATCACATTCCTCTTTAGTGATGGAACCTCTGGTCTCCTATCACAACTAGAAACCACTGCAAAGATAAAATATAATTCTTCTAATAGCTTTAGTTGTAACTAGTTATTTGATGCTTTAAAATAGGTTGAGACATTTATCAATATTAATAAATGTTTATGGTTTATCAGGATGGTTTGCTACACTGATGTTGCATTCATTGATATTGCGACAGCAGTGCAGCTTCAGCGAGCCATTCAGCTCTAGGACCTTTGGGTTTGAGGTTAAACACTCTGAAAAAAGACACGCCTGGGTATGGTTATGGGGGGAAAAAAAGAATTGTAAAATCTGACTGAATGTTTATGACCCTGTACGTCTAAATGATGGTCAGGGAGGAGGTCTGGCCCAACCTTACAATCCAATGCTGGCTTTGCTGCAGATTGTTTGTACTTGACTTCATGACTGATGGGTTTTAGCAGCACGTTTTGCTCTGACCCACTTCCAGTAGGTTGTAACTGACATGACTCATGTCTGAATGAACACACAGATGCTTGAAGAGGACTTCAGACAGCGGAGACTTTCTCTGATGGTTCGTGATCAAAGCTCATCATGATGCTTTTATTGTTGACTGTTTTCACCAGATGTGCTGCAGACCAGAACAGGCTTCTTCCTGTCAAACTGAGGGAAAACGTGGTGCACAGAAACATCTTGCGCATGCCAGACGGTGCTGTGGAAACAGAGAGGTGAGTTCAGCGTGGCTTTATTGTTTTCTACAGCTTCCAAAGAAAGACCTGATGTTACACCACCACCAGGACTAATTCGTGGATCAGTGGTTGCGAACGTCATTGACAAATCCCAAATTGAAGTGAAATTTCCTTTCATCGGATGAGTTTAGTGGCTTGGCTTCAGAAGCCACTCACATGAGGTAAGCACTGAAACACTCCCAACCCTTTAACAACAGTCCCTTTGTCTTCCAGATCTCTCCAACTTCAGGAAAAGAGGCAGAGTCTGGTGGAAAAACTGCTCCCCAGATCTCGTCTTCTGCTTCCAAGAGACGCTGGAGCTGGAGAGGGAGGGAAGCAGGACGGTTTTACAAAAGCAAAGCAGCCTGAGCTTGTGAAGCGGTTGCTGAGTGACACGGTGAGGGAAGAGACCCACGACCCGGCAGACGAAAACACAACCTCACACTCGGCCTTCGGAGAACGCCTGTTTGTGTTTCGGGATCCACCTGAATCACGTGACACTGAGAATGTTCCAAGAAGAAAGAAGAGGAATTTTCTGAATCTGAAGAAAGGTTCAGTTGCACCAGCGACATAAACTTTATGAACAATGAGTCATTTGTAACGCTGGTTTTAAATGTGTTTTAGTAATAAAATCTGAAGTGATTGTTTTTACTGCAACACCGTCCCAGTTTCTGAGCCTGTTGATGTTTGTAGAAGTAAAACCAGCTTCCTGCTTCTCCCTAACCATTCCTTCTCTGATTCTTACCAAATCAGTTTCAACTGACTGTAGACTTTTCATTTCAGCACATGTCCAACCAAAACTGAGGAAAGATTTATTATCCAGCTAGTAAATATGTTAAATCCTATTTTAAAGGGGCAAAATTGTTCACATTTTTTATTGGTTTTTAACCACATATTGAATCACAGAAGTATTTGTAAACAAACAAACAAACCTTAACTTAAATGATTAACTCTCCTTCTAACCACTGCTCCTAGAAACCCAGACCAGCTAGCTTCTTGTCTTTGAGTCTGTTTCTGAGTTTCGTTTGTTTTTGTAAAGACAAATAAAGCTCACAAACAAAAAGGTGGAACCGCTGCAGGCTGAGCATGACAAGAAAACATTGAAGGCGATCCTTGAATGGCAACATTTCAGGAAAGCATAAAACATTTATTTAATTTGTAATTTTGTTTTTGAATCGAGGGCCACCAGCCTTTTGGAAATAGGCTTCATATTGTTTTTTTGCTTTTGTTTAATGATTGTTTTGATTTAATACCCAAGGACCAGTGTGTCTAAAATAAAGATTAATCATGAGTATGTGCCTTGTGTGCATCTAAAAATCTGCATGCAGGTCTGGAAAAACACAAGAGAACACTACAGCTTATTTTAAACCCACAAAGACCAAACTCCCATCAAGCAGCTGAGATGCTTGACTATTTTTTTGTACAACAGTAATTTAAGAATATACAGGTAACACTTTTACTATTAAATGTTCTTAAGCTTAGGAAGGGAGGGGGTTGTCTGCTTAGTAATGCATTACATAATATGGTTAAGCGGTTAATGTTATTCAGTAGTTCATTAATGCTTAATAATGCACTAAGTAATGATAATAAAGGGACTTATTGTAAAGTGTTAACAAGATTCATAATTGTGTTATTTAAGGTCTGAAAACAGCTTATTTTATTATCTTGACAGTTTTTCATGCAAATGCACTTAATGTTCTTTTTTTAACTCAAAACTGCAGAATAATAGAAACTAATGAAGCCAGCTGGATTTATTTATTTTCATTTTTTGTAAATAAACTCAAAATATAATGATAAAGCGTGTGCATTCTCTAAATTAGACATTCTACACATTTAGCTAACATCTTAAACCTGTTTGATCTTCTCAGAAAGACACACATCATTAATCAGCTCATGGTAAACAGCAATTTTCTGACTTCCAGAGTCATCTCGTGTGTGTTTTCTTCCTCTCAGCTTCTGCAGCTCCCACGTCATCATCCATCTATTTTTTTTTCTTCCTCTCCATCCTTAAAGCAGCCACCAGCTGTGCTCCATCACCACCTCTGTGGAACATTGCTCCTGCAGCCGGACCTTTAGTGTGCAGCGAGCGGTTCTGACATGAGGCTGGGACTAGTGACGTTCCTCTGCTGCTGGAGCTGCAGCTTTGTGGGTCAGACTGAGAGCGCTCCTCTGACCTGCTACTCCAGAGCTGTCGCTCTGAGTGAAGAAATCATGACTCTGCTGGAGAAAATCCACAACGACAACCGCACCGTGAGCAGATACACCTTTTATTTTCGTGTTTAGACCAGACTTGCTTGCTGTGCTCTGATGATTGAACCTTTTTTGGGCTGTAGATGAGATGTGCTGAAATCCTGCCAAAGATCTTCCTTGATGTTCACGTAAGTTTCTAACAACTACTACAGCATGTGGGATGGATATGGGTGAGATGTTGATTTATGCTAAAATTACTAATTTTTATCATATATGAGCATTTTTAATCCAACTATGGCAAGCTATTTTTAAATATAACATTTTATTCACATTTAAGACAGTTTCTAACTGTAATTGCATGTAATAAATCTCAAGAGAAGCAGCAAAGATACACAGCTGACCTAAGAATCCCTTTTAAAGTGAATTTTAATGTTCTAGAACCAGTGCATCACTTCCAAGCTCCGTGACTTTCTCTATGTGTTGCTGAACCATCCCAGCCAGTCCTGCAAAAAGAGACACAGAATGGAATCCCTGAAGCTCAAAGTGCAAAACCTGCACTTCATCATCACCAGGATTTGTTTCCGGGTGAGAGCCTCTCTCCTCTCTGGAGATCAAAGCAGATTTCTTTTGTTTTACACAGATGCAAAGCTTAATTTTCTCTGCAGGATTTGGTGTTCAGGTCAGACGACTGTGAGGCGATTGACACTGGACTTGTCAGCCCATACTTTGCAGAAGACAGATTACAGATCCTCCAGGAGGAGAGATGAACTGAATCACACCAACGAGCCATCTAGAACACTTAAACATCACCAAACATCAGCTTGCATCAGACGCGGCACACCCTGTGGCTTCACATGTCCCACACACAGTTGGCTGACTGTGTTAGGGACAGACTAATGTTAGTGGTCATGTCTGGTTACATTCCAGCAAAATAGCGCAGAACTTTCCACAGGAAATTTGCTGGATGCCTACCATACCGATGAAAACCTTGAAATAATAAACCAATAAGAGGTGCTTGTGAGCGGAGCCTGACCACTGCGTGCTTACTGGGGCTGATCAAAGGGCCATGAGCCATTAGCAGAAATCGCATTACCACAACTTCTTATTCACATCTGAAGGCTTGAAGTGATAAGAAATGGAGCTTTTAGTTTTCTCTTGTTCAGAATGTCACATCTGAATGTTTGTTACATTCTTACAAAGTTGTGATGTTGCTGTTCCAACATTAAACACCTCCTCCTTCCTCCTGTATTTGCTTAAATCATTACATTTTATAACTCATTAATATTATTTATCACTTCATGTGTTTTGGGGGGTTTTCTGAGAGAGATGCTTACAAGTGTACATTTAACAACTTTTTATATGGAGGTTAACGTGCATATTAAGTATACACTGTAAACCTGAATGTTGAAAATAATCAACTATATTGAGTAGAGGAAACTCAAACATTTTTGGAAGCTAAGCATGTTAAGTTAGATCATCTTTATTTCTTGTTTTTGTGAGTTTATATAACTTTTTAAAAACATTTGTGTACTTGGAAACAATGACAGCAGAAGCTAATAAATATTGAGTTTTGTTAACAAAATAATGTGGTCTTGTACTTATTTTGTCGAGTTCTGTTAAGTTTTCAAATTTTTTTGTAAAAAAATCACCTGCATTAAAAACAGTAAAACTTTCAGTCCAAGTTAATGAAAATAAATATAAATATATGAAAAATAAAGTTATTTACTTAAATATTGTCAGTTTAGTTGATGAGCAATTTTAATTAAAGTGAAAACCAAATGCATGAGTAGAATTTAATAAGACATTTAATTTCTTATTTACTGCTACAAGATTTCTGAGTTCTGATGAATTATTTGAGTTTACATATAAAAAGATAGATGTGAGTGTGACTAATTAGCTGTAAATTAAATCAAGTAATTTCAACATTCTCTCTCTGTCTTTGTCTTTTACTTTTGCATCATAATTTACTTAACTAAAAGTTCTGTTTCCTGTTTTGTGTTAAATACTAAAACAAAAGTTTCTCCACTGATGAGTCTTGTCTTTTGCTGCTCTCTGTTGGCCAGGCTGCTCACTGCAGTTGCACAAAAATCAGCAAGCACACACAGCCCTTTAAACTTTAATTACACAACAATAACACAAAAACAAATGCAGAATTGGATTGTTGGATTACCAGAACTCGGTTTTTAAATTGGCATTGGTTTTAATAAATGCACAGTGTGCAGCATCCTAAAAGCTGTAGTTTTCAAAAAACAAATTGGAAATATGCAGTGATCTAGAGTTTGTGGCTCAAAAGCAGTTTTTGACCAGTAAAGACCCCTGCATGCCCATGACTTTTCATTTCATCTTGGAAATAAGGGTTATAATATGGTAAAAGGCTAAACTAATGTAAAAGTATATTGTTATTGTAATAACAGTTAAGGCATTCAACATTGAATTCAAATGTCCTCATAATTAAATAAACACTATTTTTTCTGTTTGTTTCAATACGACACAAACATGATTTCGTGGCTAATCGATTAAAAGAAGTCACAAACAAAGGTTTTCAAACTTAAACTGCTTTTTAATTACATTTTATGTAACAAAGAACAACAATTTCTATTAATTTTTGTTTTTTAAAGGTGATTTAGATGTATAAATAAAACTGGCACCAAAACCTCTGTGTGGATTAGCCAAAGAGTTGCACCGGAGCAGCCTCTTGTGGAACTTCCAAGGTGCTGATATGCTGCAAATTTACTTTTAAACTGCCAGTGAAGGCTGCAGAGCTATGGAATATTCTTCTCATCAATTTGAACTTGCTCACGAGTTTAAACATTTTTAAGAAGCAAACTAAATCGTACCAGTCCCTGCAGCTGCAGCACTGCACTGTCTCATAGGTTTAAATCTTTCCCTTTGCTGTGATCACTCGGTGTCTGCACCTTTCAAACTGCTTGTCATAACTTTTTATTGTGCATATTGTGAATCTCTTTATTTAATGTTTTGAATGTTGTCCTCTGTGTGCTTTAAAAGCCTATCTGGGGGCAAATGCTGCACATTAGCTATGGCTAAAAGCATTTAGCTACAAACACGGGGCTGTGGTGTTACAGTAGTATCTGTCCCTATTACCGTAATTTGACTATGGAGGGCACCTCAATATAAGCCGCACCGGGCTACAAGCCGCAGAGATCTACTGAATTGAAAACGTAGTTTAACTGAACCTAACTGAACTGATCAGTATCAAACAAAACAGAAAAGTTATTGATTAGTTTAGTCATCGTCCTCCTGCGCATTGAAACCACTGAAGTCCTCTTCTTCAGTGTCGGAGTTGATCGGAGTTGAACAGCATCAGAAGAGCTTCGTCACATACCTTTTCTGTGGCGATGTCAGTGTTGCTCTCCGTGTTGCTGTCATCATCCCGGGGTGAAGCTGGGAAAACGAGCAGCGTCGTTTTACTGTGAAAAAAATCCTCCTGGGCGCTTTCCGTAGCACTCCTTTAACCATTCCTTCATTAGACTTTCCAGCATCCATCCTTTCTGGTTGACTAAAGCCGCACCTCATTATAAGCCGCATGGTTCAAAGCGTGGGAAAAAGTAGCGGCTTATAGTCCAGAAAATACGGTATATTAACAGAATAAATGAAGTTATCATTTCATTTTTTAGCCTTATTTAAACACATGTTGTGTTCAGGGACCTCCAGCACATTTATCTGTAATGAATCAGTTAATATTCACTCAGCTTGAGTAGAAACAGAGTTAATGACAGTCGCCTGAAGCAGGAGAGGCATGAACCTGCTTCTCTGAAAAATGATTGTTTTCACAGAAATGTACTTAATGGAAGAAATAATCAAAGTGTTTGTTTTGAGACAATGGATGACTAACAATTGACCTTTCATTAAACATTTGCATGCTTGTGCATTTGCTGCCTATGAAGTAGTTTTTATTTTTGTATATTGCATACTTTGGATCACGTATAAATACCTTTAGGCTCTGAGTTATAAAACTTTATGTAGGATTTACTTTCACTGAGGCACAGGAGAGAGTGGAAAAGTGCTAAATATTGTTTTTTATAATATTATTTTTTACTTTATTTTTATTGTGGTGCCACTCATCCAGCAGCTGTGCTGTTCCAGGATCAGATTTAGGAATTAACCTCAGGGTGAAACGTGGAGAGATGTTTTAGTGAGAACTTTCGTCCAGAAAATATTATGCTTTGTTACAAATACTGTTTTCCTCTCTGAATTTTTCTGCTAAATGACAAATGAAGCTCTTTTTTATTCTAATAGACTATAAACAATCATCAGAAAGTATACGATTGCAGTATTTCTTCTTTGTATAAAACATGTTTTAACATATTTTACTCTTCATTTATTTACAAGCATAACATGACCATGAGCTCATTGAAGACCCAAAGAGTGAAACACAGTGATTTATAAAGTTACGACTGATTCTTGACCAGTATTTCTATTATATTAAAACATGTAAAAATAAGTGGATTCAGAAAATGTGTTGCAGTGTTGCTAACACCAATCCTTGAGATTTAGAATTATTTTACCTGAATTTTATTCTGATATGTGAAAAGAATGTGGTGTTTTACAGCATGGCTCCCTCATCAAAAAACTATTTCCTCTCAATAAGGCATTTTTTGTCCTGAACCATCCTCACAACTGCTTAACTCTCAACCTAAAAGAGCAAAAATAGTTTGGTTCAGCCCGAGCAGGAAGTCAGCTGCAGCACCATAATAAAGTTTAACTGTTGTTCTTATTAATAATAATTAAAGGGCAGCTCTCTTTCAAGGCAAAATGAGAACAGCACATTAAAAACCACACACACACACACACACACACACACACACACACACACACACACACACACAGCCCAGGGGGACAGTAATCATTCTCTGCTTTGTTAAAATAAATTTCCTGGTAAAGAACGCATCACAAACTAAAGGAGCGCTGATGCTGTTTGTGACTCATGTTCACTTTACGACGCTTTCAGGCAAATTTCCATCACATTTACCACTTCTATCGTAATTTTTTACAAAGAAAAGCTGCTCATTAGTGCTCGTAAAAAGTTTCCCCACTTGATTTCATACAGACTGACGCACTCTCCTGTTCTTTCACCAAATTCAACTTTAAAAAACACATCAACTCAAAACTAAATGTCTTGTCATTTATTATGTAAATGATTGAAAACTAATTTTATTTTATTAGTAGAACCTTTAATGATCGGAAATCAAATGAACGCAGATTAATCACAATGCACTGCTGCCCTCTAGTGGTCTTTATAAGATTTGAACACAATGGAGCGATTTTTAATTGATTTTTTCCACAAATGTAAATCAGTTTAAATCAGTTCATCGTCTCAAATAAATACATATATGGCTAATTAACAATCAGAGATAATAATAACACAAACTATCTATGTAATAGATTTTACATCATTATTTTAATACACCATATTTTTACAAAAAGTATGCTGCTTTTTCTGTGAGGAGAACATCTAGTTCCTGTTGGATTTATTGAAGGATTGTTGTTTGTTTAAATATCCGCAATAAAATGCCGTATTGCCGTGCAATGGTTTAATGTACTGTATTAAAATTAACCTGAAAAATAAGAAAGGGATGTTTATTTATCCACTAAAACTAAATAATTGTTTTCAGCATTTTTTCTTTTATTTTCTTTTTGCAAACGTGATGTAATTTTGTTTGTTTGTTTGTTTCTATTTATTCTTACAGAACCGGATCCTGACTATTTCACACAGACAATGAGAGAGCCACATATAAAGTCTTTAAACTCTGTTTGTTAATGAACCTCAAAACATTTAACGGCATCCTGTGGATGCTGGATGATGACTAAATGTCAAAAAGTTCATTTTTGGAGTGTTTGCAGCGCTGGTTGATCCGACTGTGAACAGAAGGTGGTGGTGTTTGGCAGAAAGTCAGCTTTACTCTAATAAACAAACTTTTTTTTTCATTTTAGTTTTAAAATATTTAGACATTCAACATGGATTTTTTATTTTTCTGAGAAATTCATCAAGTATGAAGTAACATTAAAGTAAAATTGTCAATGACGTGAATCATAATTGGTGTTTTTGAACTGGTGCATACTTTCTAAACTGTATTCTCCACAGGAGTTATCAGAAAATGCTGCGTGATGTTTATTTAACGTTTGTTTTTGTACTTCCCCTCACCAAACTCTTATTTAATGCGATCATTCATCTCCACAGCAGCCCTCTCCTTTATCGGAGCTAATCACCCATTTGCCTCTAGAGGATCAAGAGGCTTTTTGCTGCAGAGTCAAGAAGCCTCCTGTGATCTCCTGGATGATATAAACAAGTGACATTTTGTTTTGCGTTTGGCCCCTGGCACAGAAACGGCAGGGGGACAAAAGAATGAAAGAGTTGAGAAGAAAAGGCTGATCCCTTCAGTCTCCTTTGTGTCAAGTTTCCCTTCCTTTCAGACGGAGCGTTCATCCGTGTGATTTGAATTTATTGTCAGGGATTATGGATTAATTCTTGCGTCGTGGATGAGACTGAGACTGCGTGGTGAGAAGTGGCCTATTTAGTGCAAAAAACCCTGAAATAAAAATACAATAATAGATATAAATGTGTGTACCTGTGGAGAGTTCTCAGAAACGGAGAGGAGGAGATCTGCGCGCTGCAGAGCTGCCCGTCCCAGTCCCCCGCTGACATTTTAGGAATGATAAAAGTTCCGCCTTGCCTGGAGCTACAGCCTTGCTGGAGCCGGCCTCTGTCTGCGGCAGATTGCCTTTGCTCATTACACCAATTATTTTACTCGAGTTTAACCCCTGCCTTGAATGGCAGCAAAGTCCAGAGAAAGCCTTTAAAACCCGCCGCGGAGTGGCCTGTAATTGCAGGTATCTGATACCTCTTTTCTTATTATCCTCGTGGCAGAAAACGATCCGGTATCCAGGTTGTTTTTTTATATCAAACATGAGCTTAAAATCCTATTTTTAAATCTAAAATCTTTAAAAACACATTTCTGGTTGTTTACGAGTGTTTTCTCCTCCAAGAGGCCACAGTCTCCAAAATTTATCGGTGTGTTTTTGAAGTCATCACAACTCCACCACCTCCTTCTCCCTCACCCCTTCCCTTGGCGCCAACAAAATCTGGGTTAAATTGTTTCAAAGCGACAGATGCGAAAGCGCATTCCACCCAATAACATGTGACAAGTTACAATCTGCACCTTCAGCAGAGTAGAGAAAAGCGCGCAAGACGCACGAAAAGCGCAAAAGCCCAGTTTGGAAAAGGTCGCGATCACATACTCATCAGTAATGAATTAGTATTATTTACTCTGCATCGTTTTTCATCCAAGTCTCTAAGTTTTGAGAATAATTGGTAAATATTTAATATTTCCCTTGAAATCGTGTAAATTATAGTTAAAAGGAAGTCCATGAAACAGTCAACAAGTGTGAGTCAGAACGAATCACTTTGTGAAAAAAGGATAAACAATTTATTAAGTTATGTCACAAATATATTCAGAATATAAATGAGGATACTTTTCAAATATACATTATTGTACAGTACACATTTCCCTTCTGAAGGGAATCAATCTAACAGACAGTGCTGTTGTTCAAATAAAAAAAGTAATATTTTAAGAATGCTGTGGTTCTGCACGATTTGGATGCAAGGAAAAATGGAAGGTTTGGGTTTGCAGCCGCCATGGAGGCCCTCAAGTTTACAAAATATGAGCAACAAGTCTGTGAAAAAGAGCCCTGTGACCTTTGACCTGTCTGAAGGCAGCCTGTGAAGAAGCAGACCCACTGGTGTCCGTTTTAAAAAGTTTCCATCTCTACAATGCAGACATCAAGTCATCTACCCTCCAACAGGACCTCAGAATAAATGACTGTTTATTTGTTTGTTTATTTTTATTTTTTGCAGTGTGTGAACTTACTGGTGAGGACAGGAGAAAAACAAAGTCCTCTAATGGGTCGGAGGCCGTGCCCCCGGCCACTGACCTGACGTGACACTGACCTTCTCTGGATGCTCAGTGTAACCTCACCTCTCCAAAAGGGCCCGCAGTTCTCTTAAAGGGGCCCTCAAAAGCAGTCCTAACCCCTGTGAGTCCAGCTGTCCCAGTCAAGCCAGGTGGTACATACTGTATCCCATGTGAGCCGCGTACAGTCCCACCGGAGACACCGGCAGCGAGTGCCTTTGAAACGGGTGCGTGCCGGCGTACGACGCGGGGACGTGCGCACCAAGAGGAAAGGAAATCCCGAAAGCTGGAGGCAGCATCGGCTTGGCTGCCATTTTCAGTTTTTCCAGCTCTGCCTCCTGGAGACGCTTGGCTTTGGCTCTCCGGTTCTGAAACCAGATTTTGACTTGGGTCTCTGTTAGGTTGAGGGAGCTAGAGAACTCTGCGCGCTCGGCGATGGAGAGGTACTGCTTCTGGCGGAACTTCCTCTCCAGGGCGAGCAGCTGGGACGTGGTGAAGGGAGTCCGGGGCTTTCTGTTGGTCTTGTGTTTGCGCAGCGGACAGGCAGGAGGACTCAGGCGTCCTGTTGGCAGGAAATAACAGTTTTAAAGTCGGAAGGAGAGGAAAACACCAGATTTATTTGCGTAAAACTGAAGCAAAGCATTTGAAACTACTATTTTATATAAAAATACGATTAAAGTCGTGCAATCAACGTTATTTACTATGAATTTGCTTTAAACAAACACAGACGGGTATTTACTTACGCGGAGGGGTGGGGGAAAACCGCGGACTCTGTATCCACGAACTCCTCTCGTTACTATCCGGACTTTCGGGGTTAATCAGCGCCTCCTCGGACATGTTCATGATGTCTCCCACTGAAAAGGCGGAGCTGATGGGTAGAGCAGCAGGAACAGACGTATCCAAAACAGAAAACGAGCCCATCCGCGTCCCCTTCCCCAGCGCCTGGGACGTCCCGGCCGCGCCGTCCGGAGATGGCACCTCTCTGCTGGGCTTCCTGTCTGCCATCAGCGCCTCCACGCTGAAAGGCAGGATCGCGACTTTGGGCTTCCCGGCGTCCTCTGCGGGACTCAGACTGGTCTGCATTTCGCTTCTGTTGACGAGAACCGAGCGGGGACTGAGCTCTTCCGTTTTCACACCGGCGGTCAAAGATGACATGGCAGTCGATGGGGCCATACAGGTCCGGATGGTGCTGGATCTAAACTCTGACAGGACCCGTGGGAAGCTGAGGGAACGGCGTGCTCATGTTAGTGTGTCCAGATTGGAGCGCCGCGCTGTAATAAGGCAAACTTAGAGAGGGAGGCAGCCAATCAGAGGCGGCGGGGGCGGGGAGGAGCCGTCCAAGTTTTTAGAACTTCACATCTGCAGAAACAAATGGAGCGTGGGCTCATCAATTACACCCAAACAACGGGTCGGGGTGTTTACTTTTAAATAAACGTTCCTTTGTTATTTGTTTTTTTTTTCTGGGTCATTTTAATATAGATAAACCCGTGTTTAATCAGATTGGCCATTGCAGTTATTTACGGGGTAATAATCAAGTTTCGGAAGGGGGACACTGACAAAATTTATTAACATGGTGGAGAGTTGCAGGACAAAGGGGGCGTGGTTCCGAGCTGCCATTGATTTGCCTAGAACATAATTATATTTAAAATAAAAAAAAGGGTCTAAAAACTTCAAATATCCGGATGAATGCTCTAAGTGTGATGCTCCGAACTCAACAGATCTGGGTTTAAAACCAACTGTGGGACTTGCTTTATTGCGCCAGTTCCCAGGACTAAAAATCTTTGGCGCTAATTGCCAGGCATAAACAATCTGTCACGATTTGTCAGTCTCCTTAATGGGCAGACAAGTTATGTTGTTTTTAGGCGCCAGCAGCGGCTCGGATCAAAGGGCTGCATTTTTAAAGGAGACTATAGAAGAAGAAAAAAAAGTTGAACCGCGCGCACCGAGAGCGCGGCACCGCCTCCTCTTATAGCCTGAGGGACACTTGAGCATTCAGGCTGAAAAATGAGCCTTTTCTCAGCTGATCGCATGCCATTTCCATCTATTCAAATGGAATGGAAGAGAGAAAGGGGATGGCGCCCACAGGTTGAGGTTAAAGGGATTCCTCGGAGCGCGTGTTTCCCGAGATACACACACCTATGCTTGTGGAGAACTGCTGTCAGGGTTAGAATGTGTGAAAGGAAACCGTAAAGTTCATCTCCAGGAGCAGAACTCCACATCACGCACTCCACATTGCGTCATTAAATCAGTGCGCAATCGAAGCGCAGTTAACATTCAAGGTGATCTGAAGGGAGGCGCCCAGCCGCCCTGTTTGCCTCACAGATAAAGAGATAAGGTCAATTATTTGCCATTCGCTCAGGCGTGCCGAGACTAATAACGCACTTAATACTTCCATTTATTTTATTTTAAAGGAAATAAACAAAATGGAAATACGATTCAAAACAAATTGATTTCGCTTCACTTTTCAGCTACATATGTTTTTTTCTGGCTCTTTTTAGTCTAATTTCCTATCATTCATGCGCTCTGAGAAGCAGCGTGCGTTTGGAAAGACCCACAGACCGTGCGCTCTGAAGACTTTGAAGCCACGAGAGTCTCCACGTCCGACTGGAGTCCCCTCCGCCCGGGGGGAGCTCCAGCAAAGGTAGAGGGAGCTGAGTGTGGTGCAACAGACGCCTACGCACATTTTGGCACACATTTACGCACCACTGCAATAAAGACTTTCATACAATTAATTATTAAAAATACAGTTTTTTAGTGTTTTATTGTTAGCAGACATTTGTATTGTTGCAATGTGACCTTCCTAAAGTTAATTTGAGGAGATAGTGTGCCAAATACTTGGAGTTTTGGCCCACGTATCAAAAACAAACAAACCAAAGATTACCAAACCGTTTCATTTCAATTCTGATACAACAAATGAGGGCTGAGTTAAGTTGCAGGAAAAAAAAAGAAGCAATAAGGCCCATGAGGCATTTATTTCACTTCATAAACTACCTTTGATTCTGCAGTCAAGAGGCAGGGACTCCAGACAAAAGGCCCTTTGTTGCCGCCTCTAAGTTGTCTTAACCCTTTTCATGCAAGGTCTGTCAATTTAGACTGTAAAGACATAAAACGGAGGCTCCAGTCAAAAGGCATGTCAGGAAAAATCCGTGCACTTGTGCATGACTTTCATCCTGGAGCAGAGATGTGAGTATAAGCTGCTAAATATTTAATTTATCTTCAGATTCAACTGGGGTTTCCAGCCAAAAAAGGACAACACAACTTTTCAACTTGTGAGGAGTCAAATGATGTCGTAGTGTCATTTTAGCGGTTTGGACTTAATTTAATCGCCACTCAGTGAGGAGATGAAATGCGCAGCCGCTGCAGTCCGGACCAAGGTCTGCGTAATTATACTTAATGGATCCTGTTTCAAAGCAATTAGCGCAATCAGGCGCTTCGGGCCACTTTGCTGCACCAATAATGCCTCTCGGTCATTTAAAGCTTCGGGGTGTCTGTAGAAAAATGGAAATTGGAAGGTGTTCTTTCAAAAATGATTCTCACAAATATTCGGTCGTGGAGCTAAAACTATTCAAACCCTCGCCCGAGAATAAACGATTAGAAGGTTTTAAATGGAAGATTGAATGAACTGACGCAGAAATACCCTAGAAATAACTTAAATAGAAAAAATGCTGTGATTTAATTTTTTTGTTACAGTGATAAATAAGAGAAACAAGCTTATTCTGTGTTTGAGCAGCAGATTACAGGCAGAAACAATTTGCTGCGACAAAACTAAGAAAAAAGCATTATTATTATTATTATTATTATTATTATTATTATTATTATTTTAATAATAATAATAATAATAATAATAATAATAATAATAATAATAATAATAATAATAATAATAACTCTCCATCCAGCGGGGTGGAGATTTAGTTTTATCATCTCCAGCACCTTTTGCCGGTCTGACAGGCAGGATAGATGCTGTGATGTGTGTGTGTGTGTGTGTGTGTGTGTGTGTGTGTGTGTGTGTGTGTGTGTGTGTGTGTGTGTGTGTGTGTGTGTGTGTGTGTGTGTGTGTGTGTGGAGGGGGGGGGGGGGGCGATAAAAACCCCTCTGAGATATAAGAATGAAAAAAAAAGAAAG